TCTTTAAGGACCCTTCCAACACAACCATTCCATGGCTTTATGATCTTTAAGGACCCTTCCAACACAACCATCCTGTGGCTCTATAATCTTTAAGGACCCTTCCACCCCAACCATCCCATGGCTCTGTGATCTGTAAGGACCCTTCCACCCCAACCATCCCATGGCTCTGTGATCTGTAAGGACCCTTCCACCCCAACCATCCCATGGCTCTGTGATCTGTAAGGACCCTTCCACCCCAACCATCCCATGGCTCTGTGCTCTTTAAGGACCTTTCCATCCCAACCATCCCATGGCTCTGTGATCTGTAAGGACCTTCCACCCCAACCATTCCATGGCTCTGTGATCTTTAAGGACCCTTCCAACCCAACCATCCCATGGCTCTGTGATCTTTAAGGACCCTTCCAACCCAATCATCCTATGGCTCTATAATCTTTAAGGACCCTTCCAACCCAACCATTCTATGGCTCTGTGATCTGTAAGGACCCTTCCAACACAACCATTCCATGGCTTTATGATCTTTAAGGACCCTTCCAACACAACCATCCTGTGGCTCTATAATCTTTAAGGACCCTTCCAGTCCAACCATCCCATGGCTCTGTGATCTTCCAACCCAAACCACCCCATCATGGCTCTATAATCTTTAAGGTCCCTTCCACCCCAACCATTCCATGGCTCTACAATCTCTAAGAACTCTTCCAACTCAACCATTCTATGGCTCTACAGTCTTTAAGGACCATTCCAATGCAACCATCCCATGGCTCTGTGATCTTTAAGGACCCTTCCAACCCAACCATCCCATGGCTCTGTGATCTTTAAGGACCATTCCAATCCAATCATCACATGGTTCTATGATCTGTAAGGACCCTTCCCATGACTCTGCTCCTTCCAACCCAACCCAATCATCCCATGACTCTGTGATCTTTAAGGACCCTTTCAACCCAACCAGCTGATGGCTCCACCATCTTTCAGGTCCCTTCCAACCCAACCATTCCATGTCTCTATGATCTGTGAGGACCCTTCCAGCCCACCCAACCATTCCATGTCTCTATGATCTGTGAGGACCCTTCCAGCCCAACCCACCATTCTGTGGCTCTGCTATCTTTAAGGACCCTTCCAACCCAACCATCCCACAGCTCTACGACCTTTAAGGACCCTTCCAGCCCAACCATCCCACAGCTCTACGACCTTTAAGGACCCTTCCAGCCCAACCATCCCACAGCTCTACGACCTTTAAGGACCCTTCCAATCCAACCGTTCCACAGCTGCATGATCTTTAAGCACCCTTCCAACCCATCAGCCATTCCACGACGACACAGAGCCAGTCCAGCATCACCCTTGATCTCCTGGCAGGGCTTTGACATCTGGGCACCCCCTCCTCAGCTGCAAGGAGAGGTGGAATCCCCTCATTCCCTGACAGCCCTCAACACTTCTCTGAGGGCAGGGTGCAAAGCAGTGCCTACACTCCTCACCTACACACGTGCACCACTGAGAAGACAAGCGAAGCCTGTTGGGACAGGCTCTGCAGCAAAAGGCCAGCGCCATAACACACCGCACACAACAGCAACGCCTTCGGGACGTGATTTGCTCTGTTCATTTGCACTCGGTGATAAATCCAGTGCTGGCTGCTGCATTTCAGCCCAGATGCAACAGAGTCAGTGCGGAACGGAATGCAAATGACTGAAAGCTGGAAGACAGCCCAGGAGAATCAAAACCAGGTCTGGTTACTCTTAGGGGGAAGAAAGAAAGGAAAAAAAATAATAAAGAGGATTGAAGAGAGGATATCAAGTGGTGGCAGCGGAGCTTAGACCGGGTATCAAGAATAATTTCTTTATGGAAAGGGCAGCTGGGCACCGGGCCGGGGAGGCGGCGGAGTCCCCATCCCTGCAAGGATTTTGGCAGTGAGGGATGGGGTTTAGTGGTGGATGTGTAGGTAATGGTTGGGTGCAGTGATCTGAAGGGTCTTTCCCAACCTCAGCGATTCCCTGATGCCTTCAAAGACACAAAGACTCCAAGAAAAAAGGACTGTGTCTCTTCTTGATCTCCCCAGCAATGAGGAAAGAAGTTTTTTGCTATGAGAGCGGTGAGGCGGTGGAACAGCTGCCCACAGAGGCTGTGATGCCCCGTCCATCCCTGGAGGTGTTCGAGGCCAGGTTGGATGGGGCCCTGGGCAGCCTGGGCTGCTGTGAAATGTGGAGGTTGGTGGCTTTGCATGCAGTGGGGGGTTGGAGCTTCGTGATCCTTGAGGTCCCTTTCAACCCAGGCCATGCTGTGATTGTGTGTGAAGCAGAGGGTGTGAACAGTAGCAAGGACAGCTTGGGTTTGACATTCACCATCCTTATGGTAAAAGCATTTCCTGAAGGAAAAGAATCACAGAATCACCAAGGTTGGAGAAGACCTCCGAGATCACCCAGTCCAACCGTCCACCCACCACCACCATTCCCCACTAACCACGTCCCTCAGCACAGCACCCAAATGTTTCCTGGACACCTCCAGGGATGGGGGTCCACCACCACCTCCCTGGGCAGCCCGTGCCAGTGCTGGATCACCCTTTGAGAGCAGTTTTTCCTAATGTCCAACCTGAATGTCCAACTTGAGGCCATTCCCTCTAGCCCTATCACGGCTACAGGGGACAAGAGGCCGACCCCCACCTCACCACAACCCTCCTTCAGGCAGTTGCAGAGAGCAATAATGTCTCCCCCGAGCTCCTCTTCTCCACACTGAACAATCTCAGTTCCCTCAGCTGCTCCCCATAAGGTGCTCCAGACCCCTCACAGCTCTGCTGCCCTGCTCTGGATGCCCTCCAGGGCCTCCACTTGTACTGAGGGTCCCAACGCCGAGCGCAGCACTGAGCTGTGCTCCCATCAATGCAGAACGCAGAGATGATTCCTTGCTCCTGCTGGCTGCACTGCTGTCGACACAAGCAGGGATGCTGTTGGCCTCCTTGGCCACCCAGGGAACGATCCTGGTTCACGTTCAGCCAAGCACTGACCAACACCCCCAGGTCCGTTCCCTCCACGCAGCCTTCCAGCCTCTTTGCCCAAGCCTGTAGCGTTGCGTGGGGTTGGTGCGGCCAAAGCGCAGCACCCAGAGCTCAGTTTCGTTGGACGTCACCCCACTGCCCCCAGCCCAGAGATCCAGTGCGTTCGGGTCCCTCTGTAGGGTCCTTCCCACCCCGGGCACATCAACGCTTCTCCCCAGCGTGGTGTCACCTGCAAACGGCCTGAGGGCGCACTCAATGCCCGCAACCAAGCCATCAGTAAAGATACTGAACGGGATGGCCTCCAGCACTGTGCCCTGGGTTACAGCACCCGTGACCAGCTGCCAGCTGGATGTGCCTCCATCCACCATCACCTTCTGGCCCAGCCATGCGGCCGGCTCTCTACCCAGCCAGGAGCAGCGCCTGCCCAAGCCACAGCCTGAATCTCATCTCGTCACTGGAGGCTCGGAAAGCCCAGGTGAGGCACAAGGCCATCAGAGCAGCCCAGAGACGGTGGCACCTGACTCAAAGGACCGAGATCCTCACAGAATCACAGAATTGTAGGGGTTGGAAGGGATCTCCAAAGATCATCGAGTCCAACCCCCACAGAATCACAGAATCACCCGGGTTGGAAGGGACCTCAAGGATCACGCAGTTCCAACCCCCTGCCCAGCAGGGCCACCAAACACACATTCAGATCAGGTTGCCCAGGACCCCGTCCAACCTGGCCTTGAACACGGCCAAGGACGGGGCATCCACAACCTCCCTGGGCAGCCCGTTCCAGGGCCTGACCGCTCTCCTTGTGAAGAACTTCCCCCTAACATCCAACCTCAATCTTCCCTCCCTCAACTTGGACTCCATAGGACACCCACAGGCCACCCACTGACCCCATAGAGCACCCACTGACCCCACAGGCCACCCACTGACCCCATAGAGCACCCCCTGACCCCATAGGCCACCCACTGACCCCATAGAGCACCCCCTGACCCCATAGAGCACCCAGTGACATCAACTTCCCCCTAACATCCAACCTCAATCCTCCCTCCCTCAACTTGGATCCATTTCCCCTCGTCCTGCTGCTGTCAGCCCTTCTGAAGAGTTGACTCCCCTCCTGGCTGTGGGTTCCCTTCAGGTATCGATAGGCTGCCATGAGGTCACCCCGCAGCTTCTCTTCTCCAGGCTGAACGAGCCCAGCTCCCTCAGCCTGTCCTCATAGGGGAGGTGCTCCAGCCCCCTGCTCATCTCAGTCGCCCTCCTCTGGACCCTTTCCAAGATCTCTATGTCTTTCTTGTACTGAGGGCTCCAGCCCTGGACACAGGACTCCAGATGGGGCCTCGCAAGAGCCGAGTAGAGAGGGACGATCACCTCCCTGTCCCTGCTGACCACCCCTCTCCTGATGGAGCCCAGGATCCCATTTGCCTTTCGAGCTGCCAGAGCGCACTGCTGCCTCATGTGAAGCCTCTCGTCCATCAGGACCCCCAGGTCCTTCTCTGCCGAGCTGCTCTCAAGGACAAAAGGAAACCAAAGCAGGTTCCCTACACCGGGTCGAATCACCGTCGTTCCAGCCCTGCTCTGATTGCTGCAGCTCTGACAGCAAGAAAGTTAAGTGCTGTTCAGAAGTGCAAGTTCAGTCAGCGTCTGCTTTACATAACGCTGACCGCAACATCCCCTGAAGGAGGAAGCAGGCAGAAAATGAACAAGCTGTTGTGTGCGGCAGCTCAGTCCAGCTGGACGCGTTCCAGGCGAGTTCCTCCTTCATTGCAGGGCTGGCAAGGAGCGCCGGCAGCAAACGACAGCGAGCACAAAGCAGGCACTGAGAGCTCCTGATCTAATAATCGGGGCTGCGGAGATGAAAGAAGTCCGACGGCTTTCATCCAGCGCAAGTTGGCAGCGCTGCTAATCCCATCAAGTCGACCTTCAACTTACTGCTGGGTCCCCAAAACCCAATGGTTGCAAAGGCAGCAAAGGCTCCCTGGGTTAAAGCCTGGCACCTCGCTGCAGCACTGAGCCCTGTGATACTCACACATGTTGAGCTGCCGCACGAAGCTGGCCATGTTGTTGTGCTTGAAGTACTTCGGGAGCACCTCCTTGGCAAACTGTCCTTGGTCAAACACATGGAAGCTGTTTCCACTCTGTGCAAAACGAAACAAAACGCAGCATTATCAACCACGATTACAACGGGAAGGGTGGCAAGGATTGGAGCTGGATGGGGCTGACGGGTCCTTTCCCACCCAATCCTGCAGTTCTGTGAAGCCCACCCGTCCCCTTGCCAGACATCAGCCCCAGGTTTCTGTAGGACAGGTAAGGGTCCCACCTCCTGAAGCCCCTCAGCTGCACTTCATCAGCTTGGGAGTCGTCATCACCTGAGTAATTTAAGATGGCCAGGGATGGAGATCAGCTCCTGATGACATTCACATTCACTATGCTGCTGCCAGGACCTGAACAGGGCGCTGCCTGTGCTGCTGGGCACCAGGCTGGGGCATGGGGTCTGGGTATGGGGTCTGGGTATGGGGCTGGGGCATGGAGCTTGGGTGTAGGACTTGGGTATGGGGCTTAGATATGGGACTTTGGGTATAGGCTTGGGGTATAGGATTTGGGTATAGGCTTTGGGTATGGGATTTGGGTACAGAGTGTGGGTATGGGATTTGGGTATAGGCTTTGGGTATGGGACTCGGATATAGGCTTTGGGTACAGGATTTGGGTATAGGCTTTGGGTATGGGATTTGGGTACGGAGTGTGGGTATGGGACTCGGATATAGGCTTTGGGTATGGGACTCGGATATAGGCTTTGGGTATGGGACTCAGATATAGGCTTTGGGTATGGGATTTGGGTATAGGCTTTGGGTATGGGACTCAGATATAGGCTTTGGGTATGGGATTTGGGTATAGGCTTTGGGTATGGGACTCAGATATAGGCTTTGGGTATGGGATTTGGGTATAGGCTTTGGGTATGGGACTCAGATATAGGCTTTGGGCATGGGATTCAGGTATGGGAAGTTTGCATGAAGCTTGGACATGGGAAGTGGGTATGGAGCTTGGGTATGGGATTTGGCTGCATGACTTTGGCATGGAGCTTGGGTATGAAGCCTGCGTATGGGACACGGCTGTGGGGTTTGGGCATGGGACTTTGGCGTGGAGCTGGAATACATCCCAGTTCATTGGAGGAGGGTTGGACTTGATGACCTACAAAGGTGCCTTCCTACTTTAAGGATTCTATGAGGAATCCTACTTCTAAGGATTCTATTCTGTGATTCTATGGGACTCGGAGCCCAGGCATGGGGGGTGGATAAAGGACCTGGGCATGGGGTTTGGGTAAGGAATTACTTTGTCATGGAGTTTGGGTATGAAAATCATAGAAGCACAGAATGCCCTGGGTTAGAAGGGACCTCAAGGATCATGAAGCTCCAATCCCCCCCAGCACACACAGGGCCACCAATCTCCACATCTAATGCTAGATCGAGCTGCCCAGGGCCCCATCCAGCCTTGAACACCTCCAGGGATGGACGGGGCTCCACAGCCTCTTTGGGCAGCTGTTCCAACCCCTCACTGCTCTCACAGCACAGAACCTCCCCTGATACCCAGCGTGGGAGGTGGATAAAGGACCCTGTCATGGGGTTTGGGTAAGGAATCACTTCGCCACGGAGCTGGGGTATGGGACGTGGTCACAGAGCCAGGTGTGGGGCTCAGGCACAAAGTGTGGGGCACAAAGTGTGGGGCACAGGGCTGGAGCTCAAGCACCACCAACACCTGCCTGCCCCACGAGCCGTCAGCACCGAGCTGCTCGGCAGCACAACCAGCACAGCACCATTCCCTGGGGCTGCAATACAGCTGGGGAGGTTAAGCGTGCTCCGAAGATGACATCCCAAACTGCACAACTGCAAATCTGTTAATCCCGCTGCTTGTCCCAATTAGCCGTTTCCAGCAACAGCCAACGCTCTCCGGAGCTAATTAAAACGAGCCGGGCAGGCTGAGCAGAAATGCCAACATCTGTGAGTAAATTAAAGCAATTCCATACGCTGCCAGTCTCGGTGCATGGGCCTGGGGCAGAGCAGGGCAACCAGGTGGGAATGGGCCTGCAGCCCCACTGCTTGGACCCCACAGCCCACGGACAGATGGACGCTGCCAGGGCTGTGAGCAGAGCAGCTCACAGCAGGAACCACTGGTGTCCCAGCCAGCACAGCCACGGGATCACACACAGCTCAGGTTGTGCCACTGGGAAAGGGCTGAAAGAGCACCGCTTCCCAAGGGGGGACACCACTATCATCACCAGCCCCATCCAGACACGGAGCTGCTGACCACCGCCTGTGCCCACCCACCCCTCTGCCCGAGGGCAGGGAGGCCCTGCACAGGGATTTGGACAGGCTGGACCACTGGGCTGAGGTGAACAGGATGAAGTTCAATGAGGCTGAGTGCCGGGTGCTGCACTTTGGGCACAACAACCCCATGCAGCGCTGCAGGCTGGGGGATGAGCGGCTGTGAGTGTGAAGAAGAGAAGGAGCTGGGGGTGTTGGTTGGTGCTGGGCTGAACACGAGCCCACAGTGTGCCCAGGTGGCCAAGAGGGCCAGCGGCCTCCTGGTCTGCATTAGGAACGGCCAGCAGGAGCAGGGAGGGGAGCATCCATCCCCTGTGCTCAGCTCTGGTGAGGCCGCACCTCGAGCGCCGTGTCCAGTTTTGGGCCCCTCACTGCAGGAAAGATGTTGAGGTCCTGGAGAGTGTGCAGAGAAGGGCAGCGAAATGGTGAGGGGTCTGGAGCACAGGGCTGGTGAGGAGAGGCTGAGGGAGCTGGGAATGTTCAGGGTGAGAAGAGGAGCTCAGGGGAGACCTGACTGCGCTCTGCAGCTTCCTGAAGGGAGGCTGGGGTGAGGAGGGGTTTGGCCTCTTCTCCCAGGCACCGAGCAGCACACGGGGCAATGGCCGCAAGCTGTGCCAGGGCAGCTTTAGATCAGAGGTAAGGAAGAACTGCTTCTCTCAGATGGTGCTCAGGCACTGCAATGGTTGCACAGAGAGGTGGTGCAGTCACCATCCGGATGAGGAGCTGCGTGACGTGGTTTGGTGCTGGTGGTGGCAACGGTGACGAGGAGACGGTTGGACCAGATGCTGTTACAGGTCGTTTCTAACCTTGTGATTCTATGATTCTATGGTTCTACGATTCCCCATCCCCTGAGCCGGCCGCCCTCCGAATGCACGCCGCTCCAACTGAGGGGCGAGCACTTGGTGCAGGACTGCAGGCACACAGCAGCAGCTGCCCTGAGCACAGACGCCATCGCCGTGACCCTCAGCCAGTGACCCAGCTTCCACCCCAGCCACGCAGCTCCCAGATCCTCGGTGCCATTGGATCACGCACGGTTCCCAGCCGCTTTCTGGCACGCCGTCAGGAGCTGTGCTGTCAATACGAGCATCTGCAAAGCGGCAGCGGAAGGGATTTTCATTCTGGCAGAGCCACACCAGAGCTCCTAACGCATTCCACAACCCGGGTTTCGTTCTGCGATGCAGAGCTGATGCTGTCCCACCGAGCCCGACGGCAGCCAGCACAGCTCCAACCATAAGGAACCGGGACTACGCACACACCCAGGCTGCACAACTGCGCCCTGCCCACACCAAACCCGGGTGGGTTTATTAAAAGTTGGCACCTGGGGCTTGCTGGCTGCCACCTGAGTTCGGCTGCTCCTGCAGGAGACCCTCCAGCGCTTCAGCACTTGGTTTCAGTGTGCCTCTCCACCACGATGCTCCTGCTTGCCCCCTCAGCTCTGCTGCTCCACACCACGAGTTTGGGGCACAGCTGTGACGGTGCCGGGGGCCTCTGGTGTCTGTTTGGGCTGGGAACACGCCAGCCTTGTCTGAAAGCGAGAGGATGAGGGGAGGCGGCCTCACATCGCACCCAGGGAAGGCTCAGGTTGGATGGTAGGAAACATTTCTCCTCCAAAGAGCTGCGATGCATGAGCACAAACTGCCCAGGGAGGTGTGGGGGTCCCTGGAGCTGCTCCAGAACCGTGGGGATGCGGCACCTGGGGACACGGCATTGGTGGGGGTGATGGGGAGGATGGGTTGGGCCTGGGGATCCTGGAGGTCTCTTGTAATCGTTAATGAATCCATGATTCCAGGATTCTAATCAAAAAGGTCAGAACAAACGCTTCCGCCAAGAGGCAGCTCCAGCTGAGCCATTCCTACCCCAGGAGGCAGCCAGCAGCCACAACACGCACAGCACCCACAGCATGCACAGCACCCACATCACCCACAGCATGCACCCAGCACCCACAGCACCCACAGCATGCACCCAGCACCCACAGCACCCACATCACCCACAGCATGCACCCAGCACCCACAGCACCCACATCACCCACAGCATGCACCCAGCACCCACAGCACCCACATCACCCACAGCATGCACCCAGCTCCCACGGCACCCACAGCATGCACCCAGCACCCACATCACACACCCAGCACCCACAGCACCCACAGCACACACCCAGCACCCACAGCACCCACATCACCCACAGCATGCACCCAGCACCCACAGCACCCACAGCATGCACCCAGCACCCACAGCACCCACGTCACCCACAGCACCCACAGCATGCACCCAGCACCCACATCACGCACCCAGCACCCACAGCACCCACAGCACGCACCCACAGCACCCACAGCACGCACAGCACCCACAGCATGCACCCAGCACCCACAGCACCCACAGCATGCACCCAGCACCCACAGCACGCACCCAGCACCCACAGCACCCACAGCACCCAGCACCCACATCACCCACAGCACCCACATCACCCACAGCATGCACCCAGCACCCACAGCACGCACCCAGCACCCACAGCACCCACAGCACCCAGCACCCACAGCACCCACAGCACCCACATCACCCACAGCACCCACATCACCCACAGCATGCACCCAGCACCCACAGCAAGCACCCAGCACCCACAGCACCCACAGCACCCACATCACCCACAGCATGCACCCAGCTCCCACGGCACCCACATCAACCACATCACCCACAGCACCCACATCACCCACAGCACGCAGCCCCCAGCACCCAGCCACGTGGCTCAGAGCTGAAGGGAAGCTGGAAGAGCAAACCCATGTGAGTTTACAGGAGACCAGCCCTAATTAAACCATCTGTGAGTGGCACACGATCATTTCCACTGCTAGAAAGAACGCAGCCCTGAGCCAGCGTGACCGCCTCACTTCTGTGATTCCAGCTCACCAGGCTGCCTGGGATCTTTGGGGCAGCACCTCAATTCTGTGCCGCGCTGGCATCCCAAATCACGCAACACTGGCACCCCAAGGCTTTGCTGCACTGGCACCCCAAGCCTTTGCCACATTGGCATCCCAAGTCCTTGCCAAATTGGCACCCCAAGCCTTTGCCACATTGGGATCCCAAGTCCTTGCCAAATTGGCACCCCAAGACTTTGCCACATTGGGATCCCAAGTCTTAACCATCTTGGCATCCCAAGCCTTTGCCACATTGGGATCCCAAGCCTTTGCCAAATTGGCATCCCAAGCCTTTGCCACATTGGGATCCCAAGTCTTAACCATCTTGGCATCCCAAGCCTTTGCCACAGTGGCACCCTAATGAAGCCTTTGCCATCCTGGCACCCCAAGCCTTTGCCACATTGGCATCCCAAGTCCTTGCCAAATTGGCACCCCAAGCCTTTGCCACATTGGGATCCCAAGTCCTTGCCAAATTGGCACCCCAAGACTTTGCCACATTGGGATCCCAAGTCTTAACCATCTTGGCATCCCAAGCCTTTGCCACAGTGGCACCCTAATGAAGCCTTTGCCATCTTGGCATCCCAAGCCTTTGCCATCTTGGCATCCTAATTCTGCACTGCGCCCAGCAGCACTTGGGGAAACACCTCCCATGCCCCACAAAGTCTGTCCTGAGACCCCTGGGCTGCAATCTGCTCCCCCTGCAGAGCAGCCCCTGCAGATCAGCATCGTCTCTGTCAGCCCCCCCCCCCCCCCAAATTCCTGCACTAATCCCCATCCTCTCCAGTTTCAGTCACAACTTTCCACGTGGCAGAGCATCAAAAGCTTTGCTGAACTCCTGCTACATTGGATCAGCCCCACGTCTTTCATCCAGGAGAGGATTTTGTGCTCAGAGGAGAGGCGAGGACGTACGACGGGTTTCTGTTAAATCTCTTCTTTTATCTCCTTTCCATTTAGCTGTACGGCTCCAGTTGCTCTCTAGGATCGCTTCCAAAGCATTCCAGCCCACCAAGCTCAGCTGTGACACCAGCACCTCTCACACAATCACTGCACACAGGGGCAGCTGAGCACCTCCCTGGGGGTGACCCAGAGGGGCACAAGGAGGGGGCTGCTGCTCCAGCACCCATTTCTTCCCCCCCCGTGCCACGGGACGCAGACAGAAGGACGGGAGCTCATGTGAGCACCAAATAGACACCATCCCCAGCAGCAATCACAATGCTGTACTCACAGACACGATGATTCTGGAGTAAATTTAATTGGAGTGAACCAATACGACAACAACAACAACAAGGGTGCAGCAGGATTGAAGCTGTTCCTTTGCTGAGGGACCCGGGCTGATGCTCACTGCACAACCTCTGGGGCCCCTTCCTGTGCCCGATCCCAAATAAAGGACACAAAATAAAGGGAAAGGCTTCTTCTGACAGAGAAAGGGGAGTGATGGCCTGGTGGGGAAACGTGGGTGCGAGAACTCAGGTGGTTCTAAAGTGGTTGGCATGGGCAGGCAGCACAGCAATGACGGTGGGAAATGAAACAAAACTCGCTCGTCTGATTTTGTCATAGAGTGGGCTGGGTTGGAAGGGTCCTTAAAGATCACAGAGCCGTGGAATGGCAGGATTAGAAGGGTCCTTACAGATCGTAGTGCTTTGGGAGAGGTTGGAAGGGCTCTTGCAGATCACAGACCCACGGCATGATTGTGTTGGAAGCATCCTTAAAAATCATAGAGACAAGGTATGATAGGTTTGGAAGGGATCTTAAAGATCACAGTGACACAGAATGGTTGGATTGGAAGGGTCCTTAAAGATTACAGAGGCATGAAGTGGGTTGGGTTGGAAGGGCCCTTAAAGCTTGTAGAGATGTAGTATGGTTGTGTTGGAGAGGTCCTTACAGATCACAGAGCCACTGAACAGTTTGCTTAGAAGGATCCTTACAGATCATAGAGACAGTATGGTTGGGTTGGAAGGGTCCTCACAGATCACACAACCACAACACAGTTGGGTTGGATAGGAAGGGTCCTCACAGATCACACAACCACAGAATGGTTGGGTTGGGAGGGTCCTTACAGATCACACAACCACAACACAGTTGGGTTGGAAGTGTCCTTACAGATCACGCAACCACAGAATGGTTGGGTTGGAAGGGTCCTTACAGATCACATAACCACAGAATGGTTGGGTTGGAAGGGTCCTTATAGATCACACAACCACAGAATGGTTGCGTTGGAAGGGTCCTTACAGATCACACAACCACAGAATGGTTGCGTTGGAAGGGTCCTTACAGATCACACAACCACAACACAGTTGGGTCAGAAGGGTCCTTACAGATCACACAACCACAACACAGTTGGGTTGGAAGGACTCCCCAGCCCCATCCCTGCCGTGGGCTGGCTGCCCCCCAGCTCAGGCTGCCCAGGGCCCACCCCCAGCCTGGGGCACCTCCAGGGCTGGGGCACCCACAGCTTGGGGCCGCAGTGCTGGGGCACCCACTGCCTCTGGGTGAAGGATTTCCCCATCTCTGACCCCAACCCGCCCTCTGTTGGGTTGGAGTTGAAGCCATTCCCCCACGTCCTGTCACTGTCATCTGTCCATGTAAAAGGGAGGACAATGTGAAGCCAAACCCCTCTGTGATGCCAGACGTTCAGACCTCGCCAGCCCCACTCCGCTTTTCCCCCAGTGCCTCAGGGCTCCAGCGCTGCTCAGTGCCACGGGGGGCAAAGCTGACCCCCAGACGGGTGAACTGAACCCGGGGACGAAGTGGCAGAAGCTGAGCTTAGGCCTGCTGAGGACACGGCACCTTCGTAGCCCAGATGATGCTCCAGCCCCCCCGCTCCCATCCCCACCGCTCTGCAGCAGGACGCAGCAGGAACCCCTCCAAAATTCAGACAGCAGAGCAGCTCCTGCCTTCGGCAAACAGCTTCCCCTGCTTTCCAGCAGCTCTAAGTCCTTCCACGAGGATGAAAGCCGCAGAAGCCTCCTCGTTAGCTCTGCACACCCTGTGGTGCGAGCTCCCTCACGCGGCACCGAAAGGAGAGACCACCCCGCACCCACCGGGGTGGGCAGCAGCTGTGACTCAGCACGGGGACATCAGCTGGGCTGAGAGCTGGGCAGCACAGCAGGTAACGAAACAAAGGCAGCGACAGCAGCAGATGCTGCTGCCGTTTTGGTTTTTTGGTGGTTTTTTTTTTCTTTTTTTCCTTTCAAATGTACTGTTTAAATGGGGACGGCACAGCTCGAAGTTCGAAGCTCCTCGGCACCGTTACGCGGCGCTCGGCAGCGGGGCGAGATGAGAGGGAGCGGAGAAACAGGAGGAGAGCGACTGCGTGTGGGCAGGGAGTGACAGGACATGGGGAAACGGTCTGCAGCTCAAAGAGGGCGGGATGGGGTCAGAGATGGGGAAATCCTTCACCCAGAGGCGGTGCAGCCCCAGCACTGCTGCCCCGAGCTGTGGGTGCCCCAGCCCTGGAGGTGCCCCAGGCTGGGGGTGGGCACTGGGCAGCCTGAGCTGGGGGGCAGCCAGCCCACGGCAGGGATGGGGCTGGGGGTCCCTTCCATCCCAACCATTCTGTGGTTCTGTGATCTGTAAGGACCCTTCCGACCCAACTGTGTTGTGGTTGTGTGATCTGTAAGGACCCTTCCATCCCAACCATTCTGTGGTTGTGTGATCTGTGAGGACCCTTCCAACCCAACCATTCTGTGGTTGTGTGATTGATCTGTAAGGACTCTTCCATCCCAACCGTTCTGTGGTTGTGTGATCTGTAAGGACCCTTCCAACCCAACCATTCTGTGGTTGTGTGATCTGTAAGGACCCTTCCAACCCAACACAACCATTCTGTGGTTGTGTGATCTGTAAGGACCCTTCCAACCCAACAAAACCATTCTGTGGTTGTGTGATCTGTAAGGATCCTTCCATTCCAACCATTCTGTGGTTGTGTGATCTGTAGGGACCCTTCCAACCCAGCCCATTCATGCCTCTGTGATCTTCAAGGACCCTTCCAACCCAATCACTCCATGGTTCTACAACTTTTAAAGACCTTTTTTAAAGACCCAGCCTGTTCCATGCCTCTATAATCTTCAAGGACCCTGTCAACCCAACCATTCCATAGTCCTATGACTTTAAGGAACATTTCCATTCCAACCCATTCCACAGCTCTGTGATCTTCAAGGACCCTTCCAACCCATTCCACAGCTCTATGAACTCTAATGACTCTTCTAACCCAACCCATTCTGTATGTCTACTGCTCTATGATCTTTAAGGACCCTTTTCCTATCCAACCCATTCCATGTTGCCATATTACAGCAACTACTTCTTCTTGTGTCAGCCTTACTGGAAGAACAGCAGAAACGGACCCAGAACCTCGAGGAACCCACTCCTAACTCCACCTGGACAGGAACAGGGGTATTTCCAAGGCACCAGCTGCCCTTCCCATCTCTGCACCAGACCCTGCGCCATCAGCTCCATGCAGGGACACAACTCCTGGTGGCAGCTGCCCCTTGGGAAGCACCGCTGCGCTGCAGGGGCAGAGAGGGGCTGGGGGCTGCTCCAGGAGATGGCCAGCCTGGCCAGCCCCCCTGGTGTGGGGCTGGGGACCCCGGGACCCAAACAGAGGAAGGCTGCAGACCAGGGACAGAGCTGCGGGTTCATAGGGCAGAGCTTCCAAAGGGGATCGCAGAACGGATGTGGTTGGAAGGGACCTTAAGGATCCCAAAGTCCCAGAACCACAGGGGCTGGAAGGGACCTCTGGAGCTCCTCCAGCCCCACCTGGCCCCCTCCTCCCACCCCCACCCCCCAGATACCCATCAGCGCTGCTCACACCCCTCTCAGCCTTCTCTCCCCCAGCTGCACAGCCCTGGGGCTCTCAGCCCATCCCCACCAGGAGGGGCTCCAGGCCCCCCCATCCCCACACCCTCCTCTGGGCTCTCCCAGCACTTCCCAGTCTGCCCTGAACTGGGAGCCTCTGCAGGGCAAAGCAGAGGGGAGCAGCACCTCCCTGCCCCGCTGGCTGCACTCTGGCAATGCACCACAGGGCCCCTTTGTCCTCTTGGCCTCCAGAGCTCACTGCTTTCTTGCCTCAAGGTTTGCAGCAGCGTTTGGGAGCAGCACAAGGCCGATGCTCTGGGATCACTGCAGGCAGACGGCAGCACAGCACTCAGCGATTTCCTGGGCACATCCCTGGCTCAGCAAAAAGAGCTGCTGGTTTATTTCATGCCCTCTGCTTATTTCACGTCCTCTGCTCCCACCCACTGTCTGAGAGCACGAACAGACAGGCTGCTGCCTGATGCTGGCACACAGGAGCATCGCTGCCGGCAGATCAGCGCGCCTCAGGCTTCTCTCTGGGTCAGCTTTGGGTTCAAACCAGGCCGAGCCGTGGGGCTGCTGTCCTGGCCGTGCATTCTCAGACCTGCTGCAGCCCCTCTGCCCCCCGCAGGGCCCTCCCTGCTGCTGTGCTGACAGAGCAGGGCGCCCTGTGCCGGCAGCTCCATCACGCTGCACACACTGCCAACCTGAGCTCAGCCATTCCTCCACCCCAACTGCCGGGCAGGAGGGGCTCCTCTGGATGCCGAGTGCCACGGCTCCTCCAGGCTCAGCCCAAAGGAAAAATAAAGAGTAGAACTTCAGGGTTGACCATAAATCCGTTTCCTGAGGCAGAAAAAGGAAAAATAGTACCCGCAAGGAGGTTCAGCTTGCCCAAGGAGGCTGTGGATGCCCCATCCCTGCAGGCATTGGAGGCCAGGCTGGATGTGGCTCTGGGCAGCCTGGGCTGCTGGTTGGCGACCTGCACACAGCAGGGGTTGGAAGCAGGTGAGCATTGGGGCCTTTGTAACCCAGGCCATTCTGTGATAACAAGGTCTCTATCTACCAAACGACGCATTCGCTCACTGCTCACCGACTGACACGCAGTGCCTGAGCAACAGCTGCTTCCCCCCTGGTCAGCTCTCCCCAAAGTTTTTATGATTCCATACGTTACCTAAAGGGCGCCTACAGGAAAGCTGGGCAGGGACTTTTTATAAGGCAACGTAGTGACGAAACAAGAGCAAATGGCTTTGAACTGCAAGAGATTTAGACTAGACCTTAAGGAGAAATTCTTTACCGTGAGGGTGGGGAGACACTGGAACAGGCTGCGCAGTGAGGCTGTGGATGTCCCGTCCCTGGAGACATCCAAGGCCAGGCTGGATGGGGCCGTGAGCAACTTGGTCTGGTGGGAGACGTCCCTGCCTATTGTAAGGGGCTGGAAGAAGCTGATCTTAAAGGTCCTTCCAACCCAATCCATTCCATGATTCTATAATCCTAAAGGCACCTTCCAACTTAAATCATTCGGTGCTTCTATGATCTCTGAGGTCCCTTCCAAGCCAACCATCCCATGGCTCTATGACCTGTAAGGACCCTCAAACCCAGCCATTCCACAGCTCTATGACCTATAAGGACCCTCCAAACCCAGCCATCCCATGGCTCTATGACCTATAAGGACCCTCCAAACCCAGCCATCCCATGGCTCTATGACCTATAAGGACCCTCCAAACCCAGCCATCCCATGGCTCTATGACCTATAAGGACCCTCCAAACCCAGCCATCCCATGGCTCTATGACCTATAAGGACCCTCCAAACCCAGCCATCCCAGGGCTCTATGATCCACAAGGTCTCTTCCAAGCCAATGATCCCATGGCTCTGTGCTCTGTAAGGACCCTTCTAACCCAACCATTCCACAGCTCTATGACGCTTAAGAATAATTTCAACCCAATACATTCTATCATTCCATGGCTCTATGACGTTCCAGTACACACCAAGCCATTCTAAGCTTCTACGACCTTCCAGGATCCTTCTAATTTAATCATTCCATTGCTCTATGATATTTAAAGACCCTTGCAACCCAACCATCCCACCCCTCTATGATCTCTAAGGACCCTTCCAACCCAATCATGCCATGGCTCTGTGATCTTCAAGGACCCTTCCAACCTAACTATTCTGTGGCTCTGTGATCTTCAAGGACCCTTCCAACCCAACCATCCCACCTCTCTACCATCTACAGGGACCCTTCTAACCCAATCCAACCCAATCATTCCACGGCTCTGTGATCTTCAAGGACCCTTCCAACCCAACCATCCCACCTCTCTACCATCTACAGGGACCCTTCTAACCCAATCCAAGCAAATCATTCCACGGCTCTGTGATCTTCAAGGACCCTTCCAACCCAACCATCCCACCTCTCTACCATCTACAGGTATCCTTCTAACCGAATCCAACCCAACTATTCTGTGGCTCTGTGATCTTCAAGGACCCTTCCAACCCAATTATCCCACCTCTCTACCATCTACAGGGACCCTTCTAACCCAATCCAACCCAACTATTCTGTGGCTCTGTGATCTTCAAGGACCCTTCCAACCCAACCATCCCACCTCTCTACCATCTACAGGGACCCTTCTAACCCAATCCAACCAAATCATTCCACGGCTCTGTGATCTTCAAGGACCCTTCCAACCCAACCATCCCACCTCTCTACCATCTACAGGGACCCTTCTAACCCAATCATTCCATGGCTCTGTGATCTTCAAGGACCCTTCCAACCCAACCACTCTGTGACTCTACAAAGACTGTGACCCCCAGGGCTGCCTGCTGGGCCAGCACAACCCTTACCAACCAACAGCACCAGCAGAAGGCATCAATGCAGAGCACCCACACGGCTCCTTCCCCACAGCACCTCCTGAGCTCCGCAGTTTGTCCCAGCACCCAACTGCCTCCACCTCAGCAGCACCCGCCGCCCCCAGCTGCCCTCCCAGCCCTGCAGGTCGAGTCACCGCAGCTCAGATGAGCAGAAGAACACGCAGAGAGACACGCAGCCCACGTCAGACACAAGGAAGCAGCAGCTCAGCACCACGATCCGTCCCCGCCAGGCACGGCTCCGCGCTCCAGCAGCTGCTGATGCCGCACGAGGCCTCGGGGAGGGAGGTGAAGTCAGCAAACCTCACCCATCAATTAGCCCTCAATTAGCCACGCTGTTTGTATCCCGAAAGTGTTGCTCACGACCCAGGAACCCGCCGCTATTAAGTGGCCCCAGAGCTCCCAGCGAAGCGGCACCAGGGCTCCCGAGGGCAGCGGCTCCACGCAAAGCTCATCCAAAAGGAATCCCAACCTCCTTCAGCTCCTGTTCAGCCGTCCAACGGTTTTGGCTGCGCTCAGTGGCAGTGGGGGCTGCCGACATCAGCCGGCTGCACGCTGCCCTTGGGGCAGCTTCCCTCTCACAATCGCTGCCCCTGACTTTCGCCAGGTGCCATCTCTCTCTCTTCCTGAGGAAGAACTGACTGTGAACAAGGAGAACGCATCCACAGCCACGAGCCCTCGGCAAAACGCAGCTCCAGAGCTCATCTCTGCAGCTCCACAGCTCATCTCTGCAGGACGAATTAAGCCAAGTCCACGGGAGGTGTTCCTGCCTGTGGAACCGGCGGGCTGGGCAGAAAAAAAACAGATGAGGTTTAACAAAAGCAAGTGTAGAGTCTTGCATCTGGGGAGGAATAATTCCATGCAGCAGTACAGGCTGGGGGATGAGCTGCTGGAGGGGAGCCCTGCAGAAAGGGACCTGGGTGTCCTGGTGGATGACAGGTCGGCCATGAGCCAGCAGTGTGCCCTTGTGGCCAAAAAGGCCAATGGCATCCTGGGGTGCATTGCACAGAGCGTGGCCAGCAGGTCGAAGGAGGTGATCCTCCCCCTCTGCTCTGCCCTGGTAAGACCTCATCTGGAGCACGGCGTCCAGTTCTGGGCTCCCCAGTACAAAACAGACAAGGATCTCTTGGGAAGAGTCCAGCGGAGGGCCAAAAGATGGTGAAGGGCCTGGAGCATCTCTGCTATGGAGAAAGGCTGGGTGAGCTGGGGCTGTTCAGCATGGAGAAAAGGAGACTGAGAGGGGACCTGATCCAGGTCTGTGAATATCTGAGGTGTGGGGGGCAGAATGGCGAGGCCAGACTGTTTTCAGTGGTGAGTGGAGACAGGACGAGGGGAAACGGCTGGAAACTGCAGCATAGGAAGTTCTGCATGAATCTGCATAAGAACTTCTTTACAGTGAGGCGATGGAGCACTGGAACAGGCTGCAGGGAGGTGGTGGAGTCTCCTTCTCTGGAGATGTTCAAGACCTGCCTGGATGCCGACCTGTGCGACCTGCTATAGGGAACCTGCTTTGGCAGGGGGGTTGGACTCCATGAGCTCTGGAGGTCCCTTCCAACCCCTACAGTTCTGTGATTCTGTGATTCAAGGTCCGTCGCCACCCAAAGCACCCCGTGATGATGAGAGCCCACAAACGGCTCTGAAGCGCTTTGCCTCCCACACCTCTGGGATCTGCAGAGGTGAGAGGAGTTCCCACAAGTTACGAAAAGAGTCGTCAAAGAATCACGGAGTGTGAAGGCCTCGCCTCCAAGGAAACTGAATTAGAAGGTTGTGTCTGTGCACACACATTTACTTTCCTGCTTTCTGCTGATGCACCTCTCCTTCCTGACGGCGCTTACGGGTTCGTATTCCTGCTCCTACAGCCTGCCCCTTCCACCTGCTGCCGGAGGAAACTCAAAGAGAGGAATTAACCACCGGCCAGCAGAAAAGATACAGGAAAAAGGGAGGTAGGAAATGAGAAAGGTGCGAGCAGCACAGCAAGAAACACAGACATGGGGCGAGGATTCGGCTCCTGCTCCATCCCAAGAGGGCAGAACTCATTTTCACGGGCGCTACGGGGCTCAGAAGAGCACTGTGCTCACTGCCCAGCAGCATCCCTCACCCCGAGGAAAAGCAACGGCTCAGCTTCACAGCCCACGCTGACGTGAAGAAGGAAATGGGTGAGAGAACTGCTGGAGGGAGGCCCTGCTGCTCCCCAGCTGCCAGGCAGATCAGCAGCTCACGCCACACTGGTGCCAGCAGTGCAAGGAAGGATGCGATCAGACGCAGCCGACCCCTGAAACAAAGAGCTTCAGGATTGTCTCAGGCTTTAACAACAGCTTTTAGAAGTTGCACGGTGCAGATGTGGGCTGTGCTCCCACAGCTCTTGCCACGGCCCAGCAGGTTCACATACCCACCAAAGAGTATCAAGTACCTTAAGCTTAAGGAGGGGAGGTTTCGATTGGATATCAGGGGAAAGTTCTTCAAAGAGAGAGTGGGGAGGTGCTGGGACAGCCGCCCAAAGGGGCTGTGGGTGCCTCATCTGTGGAGGTGTTCAAAGCCAGCTTGGATGGGGCCCTGGGCAGCCTGGGCTGGTGTCAGATCCGAAGGTTGGTGGCCCCACGTGTGGCAAGGGGTCGGAGCTCGATGGTCCTTGGGTCCCTTCCAACCAATGTCATTCCATGGTTCTAACAGTACAAAGTTTTAAAGAAGTCAGCATTCATCTCTCTGGCTCCTTGTTGCAGAGCAAAGTTGAGCTCTGAGCTCAACCTCAACGCTGCCACCGTCCGAGCTCCCACTCAGCTGCTGCTGCCTGCAGCCATCCCCAAAAAACAGAGCCCCAAGCAGCAGTGCTTTGTTATTTGGGGAACAAGCCGGGTACGGCGCAGTCAGCACGGGGCAGGGATGCAGTCCTGATGCTCACCCCGTGCTGCTCTGCAGGAAGCAGAACTGGGACAGTCACCCTTTCCCACCTCCTTATCCTCACCCGCCAGCAACAGCTGCTTGCCCTTAGGGTGTGGGGTCACATCACAGCTGAAACGGCCCCAAAGAGGGGCAGCAAATGGTCTGAAGTGGAAGAACCCCAAAGAAAAGGCACCAAGCAGGCCTGAGCACAATAACCTAAGGATGGGCAGCGAATGGCCCAGACCACAAAAACACAGAGGGACAGCAAACTGTGCCTGTGGGCTGGGAGGGAGGGACAGCAAACTGTGCCTGTGGGCTGGGAGAGAAGGACAGCAAACTGTGCCTGTGGGCTGGGAGGGAGGGAGAGCAAACTGTGCCTGTGGGCTGGGAGAGAAGGACAGCAAACTGTGCCTGTGGGTTGGGAGGGAGGGACAGCAAACTGTGCCTGTGGGCTGGGAGAGAGGGACAGCAAACTGTGCCTGTGGGCTGGGAGGGAGGGACAGCAAACTGTGCCTGTGGGCTGGGAGAGAAGGACAGCAAACTGTGCCTGTGGGTTGGGAGGGAGGGAGAGCAAACTGTGCCTGTGGGCTGGGAGAGAGGGACAGCAAACTGTGCCTGTGGGCTGGGAGAGAGGGACAGCAAACTGTGCCTGTGGGCTGGGAGAGAGGGACAGCAAACTGTGCCTGTGGGCTGGGAGACAGGGACAGCAAACTGTGCCTGTGGGCTGGGAGAGAGGGACAGCAAACTGTGCCTGTGGGCTGGGAGAGAAGGACAGCAAACTGTGCCTGTGGGCTGGGAGACAGGGACAGCAAACTGTGATTGTGGGCTGGGAGAGAGGGACAGCAAACTGTGCCTGTGGGCTGGGAGACAGGGACAGCAAACTGTGCCTGTGGGCTGGGAGAGAAGGACAGCAAACTGTGCCTGTGGGCTGGGAGAGAAGGACAGCAAACTGTGCCTGTGGGCTGGGAGGGAGGGACAGCAAACTGTGCCTGTGGGCTGGGAGAGAGGGACAGCAAACTGTGATTGTGGGCTGGGAGAGAGGGACAGCAAACTGTGCCTGTGGGCTGGGAGACAGGGACAGCAAACTGTGCCTGTGGGCTGGGAGAGAAGGACAGCAAACTGTGCCTGTGGGCTGGGAGGGAGGGACAGCAAACTGTGCCTGTGGGCTGGGAGGGAGGGACAGCAAACTGTGCCTGTGGGCTGGGAGAGAGGGACAGCAAACTGTGCCTGTGGGCTGGGAGACAGGGACAGCAAACTGTGCCTGTGGGCTGGGAGAGAGGGACAGCAAACTGTGCCTGTGGGTTGGGAGGGAGGGAGAGCAAACTGTGCCTGTGGGCTGGGAGAGAAGGACAGCAAATTGTGCCTGTGGGCTGGGAGACAGGGACAGCAAACTGTGCCTGTGGGCTGGGAGAGAGTCGGAGCTCCTCTGCCTTCCTCCAACATGCTGGGAAATATCTCCACTGCCTGCTGCAGGGAGCCTGCTCTGCAAGGGGGTGGCACTCAATGACCTGTAGAGGTCCCTTCCAACCCCAACAGTTCTGTGGTTCTGTAATCTCAGGAGGAGAAACGTAGCCGGGGGCAATGCCTTTGCTTTGGTCAGCACGGGGGAAGCTCAGATTCCATCCTGCACACCCGGATACAGGCGCTGCCCCCCTCCCAGCTGCACACAGCTCACAGGGGTGCCAAACCCCTGGGTGGATCCATCTGCAGCAGGGTGAAAGGATGGGGAGGGCTGTGCAACCCCTCACGGGTGCCTCGGCGAAGCAAAAAATCCCAGAATCCCAGGTTGGAAGGAACCTTTGGAGCTCCTCCAGTCCAAGCCCCAAAGCAGTTCCCTGCAGCAGCTGCACAGGAAGGCAGCCGGGTGGGTTTGGATCTGCGCAGGGAAGACTCTCCCACCCCTCTGGGCGGCTGTGGCAGGCTCTGCCTCACTCACAGCACAATGTTTCCATCCTCCTGTTCAGAAGGAAACTCCCTGGGCTCCGGTTTGTGCCTTGTGCCCCTTGTCCTGTTAATGGGGCAGCACGGAACAGAGCCCAGCCCTCTCCTCACAACCCCACCCTCCAGATATCCGTCAGCACGGAGCCCAGGATGTGAGAACACAAACTCAGGCCACGAGCACTCAACCCCCACGTGCTGTGGGAGCAGGATGGGGCATCAGCTCACAAGCAATGACTTGCAAAGTGAAGGAGGTATCAGCAGAGCACACACGGAGCAGCTCCCATCTCATTACTGCCACACAGAGTCAGATAAGCAAAGAGGAGCCGGAGAGCAGCGACGATCCGGGCTCATAAAACCGTTCCCAGCAAATGGGAAATGTGTTTTTATTTTGGCAGCAGTCCCACTCCACGGAGCCCCTCGCTCCTACCTGAACCCACACCTCCATAGGGAAGCTGTGTTCAACTCACATCAGCAAAAACACTTTCCTGCTCTTCAAGCATTTTGGTTGCAAACACGCGATTTCTGGTCAAAACTCAGCCACGCTGAGTGCCAGCAAGAAATTCAGGTCAGATGTAGGGAGAATTTTCCTCCCAGAAAGAGCAGCCGGGTGCCACCCAGGGAGGTGGGTTTGGAGGGGGGGGAGGGGGGGGAATCACCACCTTGGAGGTAATAAGGAATGTGAGATGTGGCACAGTGGGGATGGGGGGACATCTTGGGGGCGTTTTCCAACCTTATTCAAGGCCAGGCTGGATGGGGCCCTGGGCAGCCCAGGCTGCTGCTAAATGTGGAGGTTGGTGGCCCTGCCTGCAGTGGGGGGTTGAAGCTTCATGATCCTTGGGGTCATGAATCCAATCCAACCATTCTGTGATCCCAACCTCAGCCATTCTGTGACCCTGTGGAAGGATTCCCCCAGTTTTCCCCCAGTGCATTCAGTCCCTCTGGTTGGTGCCCAAGCCGTGGGCAATCTGCTCCCTTTAAGCCCAGGAGAACACAGCAGTCAGAAGCACCACAAAGCGCGGCCCATGGCGGTGTAGGTAAAGCAGACACTCTGATCCTACAGACAAACCACCAGCAGGCCTCAATCAGACAGCAAACAGAGGCTGTGATGCCCCATCCATCCCTGGAGGTGTCCAAGGCCAGGTTGGATGGGGCCCTGGGCAGCCTGGGCTGCTGTGAAATGTGGAGGTTGGTGGCCCTGCCTGTGGTGGGGTTTGGATGTTTGTAATCCTTGGGGTCCCTTCTCTAACCCAACCATTCTGTGATCCCAACCTCAGCCATTCTGTGACCCTATAGAAGGATTTCTGCAGTGCATTCAGTCCCTCTGGTCAGAACCCAAGCTTCAAGGAGGTTGGTGGTGGCCCTTCCTGTGGTGGGAGTTGGAGATTCGTGATCCTTGGGCTCCCTTCCAACCCAACCACTCTGCGATTCCAACCTCAGCCATTCTGTGGGCTCCCTTCCAATCCAACCATCCTGTGATCCCAACCTCAGCCATTCTGTGACCCTACAGAAGGATTCGTGATCCCGGAGCTCCCTTCCACCCCAACCATTCTGTGATTCTGTGACAACGCGCTCATCCCGCCCAGCACAACCCCAGCCCGGCCAGGGCCCCGGCACACCGCTATGCCCCCGAGGGAACGGCACGGACCGCTGTCGAACGAGCTGTGGGGCCGCTTAACGGAGCGGATAACAGAGCGGATACCGGAGCCGCGCCTCCTCACCGGGCTCCAGCAGATCAGCGGGTCGGTCTCGGGATCCTCCACCAGCGTCCACAGCTTCGTCAGGAAGGCCGATACGTTGCTGCCGCCCGGGCCCGCGCCCGCCGCTGCCGCCGCGCCGGGACCTTCCATGGCCGCGGGGCTCCGGGACAGGGAGGAGAACGGCGGAAGGCTCAACGGCGCCGGCGGGGCCGGGCGGAGCGCTGAGCGGGGCGGGCGCCGGGGCCCTGCATGGCCGCCGCCATCTTGCGCCGCCTCCGGGACGAACCCCCCGCGCCGAGACGCGCTGCGCATGCGCGACACCGCCCCAAACCCCGCCCTCTCCGCGGGGCGCATGCGCATTTCTCGCACGGGGGGTTTAGGGATCCTACGAGCATGCGCGCCGCGAGCTTCAGCGGGAGCTCCGCCAAGCGGCGCATGCGCCTCCCCGCTGAGTGACGCTTCCGTGCGCATGCACCTCCCCCGCCTTCTCCCCGGAGGATCCTGACGCGCATGCGCGGCGTGCCTGGCTGCGACTGGAAAAGGGAAATCCGGAAATGAACCCGGCAGGGGGCGGGGCGTGACCTTTGACCCCGCGCACGCGGAGGACGGCGGCGGCAGCGGCGCACGCGGGACGCGGCCGTGGAGACCATGGAGCAGGTCGGGGAGGGTTGCCATGGTTACGGGGGTGGTGTGCTCGGGTCTTAGGCCTGGTTCGTTCGGATCTTAGGCCTGGTTCCGGCTCTCGGCCTGGTTTCGGGTGCAGGCACTGGTCCTGGGTTTGGGGTCCCGGGTTGTGTGCCTCGGGCCTGGTTCTGGACCTGGGGTTCCGTGTTTTGGCTCGACCTCTGTGTTGGGGGCCCAGGTTTTGGGTCTGGGGGTCTAAGCCCGGGTTCTGGATTTGGGCCTGGATTCTGGGCCAGAGGTTCCACGGTCTGGGCCTGGGGTCTTGGGCCCGGTTCCGGCTCCCGGTACCACCCTGACACCCCCCGACCTCTCCTTGGGCAGCCCCTGGAGCTCGAGAGCGATGACGATCTCACAGACAGCGAGGAGAGCGTTTACTCGGGGCTGGAGGACTCTGGCAGCGACAGCACCAACAGCAGCGCCGGGGAGGAGGAGGATGAAGACGAGCGGGAGGAGCCTGGCAGCGGGGCAGCCCCCGAGGTAAGGAGCGGGGATGGGGGGAGGCTGCCTGGGTGGGGGGCACTGCTACAGCGCTGCGCCCGGCGCTGGGCTCCCAGTTCAGGGCAGACTGGGAAGTGCTGGGAGAGCCCAGCGGAGGGTGTGGGGATGGGGGGCCTGGAGCCCCTCCTGGTGGGGATGGGCTGAGAGCCCCGGGGCTGTGCAGCTGGGGGAGAGAAGGCTGAGAGGGGTGTGAGCAGCGCTGATGGGTATCTGGGGGGTGGGGGTGGGAGGAGGGGGCCAGATGGGGCTGGAGGAGCTCCAGAGGTCCCTTCCAGCCCCTGTGGTTCTGGGACTTTGGGATCCTTAAGGTCCCTTCCAACCAAAGCTGTTCTGCGATCCCCTTTGGAAGCTGTGCCCTTTGAACCCGCAGCTCTGTCCCTGGTCTGCAGCCTTCCTCTGTTTGGGTCCCGGGGCCCCCAGCCCCACACCAGGGGGGCTGGCCAGGCTGGCCATCTCCTGGAGCAGCCCCCAGCCCCTCTCTGCCCCTGCAGCGCAGCGGTGCTTCCCAAGGGGCAGCTGCCACCAGGAGTTGTGTCCCTGCATGGAGCTGATGGCGCAGGGTCTGGTGCAGAGATGGGAAGGGCAGCTGGTGCCTTGGAAATACCCCTGTTCCTGTCCAGGTGGAGTTAGGAGTGGGTTCCTCGAGGTTCTGGGTCCGTTTCTGCTGTTCTTCCAGTAAGGCTGACACAAAAAGAAGGAGTTGCTGTAATATGGCAACATGGAATGGGTTGGATAGGAAAAGGGTCCTTAAAGATCATAGAGCAGCGCTGATGGGTATCTCTAGGGTGGGGGTAGGAGGAGGGGGCTGAGCAACCGGATAAGGAGTGCTGGGCACAGACTGGAGCCCAGATCTGAACGTGAGGAAGAACTGTGCTGTGAGGATGGCCGAGCCCCTTCACAGAGCCCGGGGTGCTGGGGGAGTTGTCTTCTCCGCAGAGATGTGAGCTTGTTTGGATCCTTTCTGGTACAAATGCTGGAGGGAAATGTTTCTGGGGGGGTTGACGTGGGGCAGGGCTCTGGAGGTCTCTTCCAGTCCCTACGGTTTGGTGGCTCTGTGCACACTGATGTCAGTGTTTGCCCCTCCTGCTGCACAGAGCCCTGTGTTGGAGGTTTTTTCTTGTGGGTTCAGAGCAGGGAGGTTGGGGATGGAGCACTGCCTTACCTGGCTTTCCTCCTGTGCGGCATCCAGAAGGGTTTCCCCCAGGAGGAAATGCCTCAAACCCATCAGGCTTGGGAAGGGTTACGTCTGCCTCTCATTTCTGCATTGGAAAAAGAAACGTGGCTTTCAAGAGTCCCCTTTCCAGTGCAGATCTAAGAGAAGCTCGGTCAGCTCACATCCTTTCTTCTGCGGTCCTGCTCAGTGGTAGAGCCTCTGTCTGCACCTCTGTCCTCCCTGATGCAGTCTGACAGGCCCTGCAGTGAGCTGCATCCTGCAGCTGCTTTGCCTCCCTTTGAAGCCTTCGCATGGCTCCATAAGTAAGCGGGTTGTGGACCACTGCCTCGTCACATTAGACACCTCTGCAGTCCAGTTTTTCACAGCAACTCAACAATTGTGGGACCGAATCCAAATTTTTCATTGCATTGAAAGTACCTGGGAGCTTCAGGAGAGCACGGGTCTCTGCTGCTCCACTGGCATGTTTGGAAAAGGTTGAGTGCCTTTGGGTGAGAGCAGGGAGAATTGGCTTCTGGCTGGAAAATGCTGTGCCTGCAGGTGCTGGAGAGCGGCTTATTTGCTTTGGCTGGATGTCTTCAGAGCTTGGATGTTTCTCTGGCTGCAGTGCCGTGGCTCAGGAGGCCGTGTGTGCAGCATAGGCTGGACACTGAGGGTGTCATTTCACGGTGCCACAGGGCTGTGGACCTTTGGTGCTGAGCTCAGTGCCAGGCTCTGGCTGTGGCACATCAGGGTTGTGCCACTCCTCCCGTTGCTGCTGCCTGGGTCTGGTTGTGCTGCAGGAGGGACACGGGACGGCAGAGGGGTTGAGGCTGAGGCTGCCGCATTCCATCCATCCCACGGCTCCTAGCTGGGGTTAGAGACCCCCAAGAGCAGCCCCCAGCCCCTATCTGCTCCCTGTACCAGCTCCAGCCCCCTCCCCCCCCCAGCACAGCGGTGCTTCCTCAGGAGCAGCTCCTGGGCTCCATTCTGTGCCCGTTGCCTCTCGTGCTTGTCCTGGTGCTGCTGAGCACGGCCTGACTCCATCCTCCCTGTGGGACGTATCACCATGGGTAGGATCCCCCCGAGCCTCCCTGCCTCAAATCAAACAGCCTCTCAGCCTTAAAGCTGCTCCAGGCCCTTGGTCACTATGGTGGCCTTCCTTTGGGCTCTCACCATTGCGCCCAGCTCCCTCCTGCACTGATCCCAGCACTGAGCAGAGGGTCAGCATCCCCCCTCTTGTCCTGCTGGTGATGCTCTGTTGCAACCAAGACCATCATCGGCACCATTTGCCCGAGGGCTCATCTCTGCCTCGTGTCCCATTTGGTGCCCACCGGGACCCCTGGGTCCCAAACTCATCACCGAGCTGCAGGCAGCAGCAGAGCTGATGAACAGTGGGGCTGAACTGGACCTAATGAACCTTGTGTGGCAGCTGCGTCCCTGTGTGCGTTGGGATTGTACACAGATGTAATCCGGAGCAAAGAGCAGTGGGTCTCAGCTCCATGCTGAATACTTTCTGAGTATAACGATAAAGAAACCTTAGAAACCCCTTTAGAGGTTAGCAGTAGGCAGCGACACCCCAATAATCGTGGTCCAGCGAGGTGCTGGACATGGAGCTCAGGGAGCATTCCCAGGCTGCTCCATCCGGAGGCACTGGATCACATGCAGAACGTGTGAGCCAAGCTCTTGGGAAAGGACAGGAGGCTTTGCTGCTGTGCCCGAGGAACCTGGAGAGTGTCAGGGAGCTGCGATGGGGACAAGGGAAGCAGGCAGATGAGAGCAGACAGATCCATGGGGCTGCCAGAGCTCTGCGGTGAGTTCCTGGTGGAACTCTGGGGGCTGTGGCTGCAGCACCGCTCTGCCCCAGGGCTCCAGCCCCAGCATTGCAGCTGCTGAGCTGCTGTGTGCCCTGCGTGGAAGCCGAGGTCTGGGGAGTGTCAAGGGGCCGGCACTGAGCTGATGCTCTACGGGGCTCTGGCTTTTAAGGTTTTCTTGCTCCAACTGCAGCTCTGCAAAGGGAGGAATCCTTCAGCAAATGAACTCTTCAGCCTGCTTTCAGCTGCCGGGGTTCACCCCAGGGCACAGGGATTGGAGCCAGGCAGCCTCGGGGCTGCTGAAGAGGAAAACACCAATTGTCACAACACTGGGACTCATCAGGAGGAAATGGAATCCCACAGGGACAGCCCAATATCGACACAGTCCTGAGGGTGAGGGAGGCAGGGAACGTGGGGCTGAGTGGCACTCAATAGTGGCAAACCAATATGGGGCTGTCCCTGTGGGGTCCTGCAGGAGCTGGGGCAGCTCCGCAGCTCTCCTGATCAATGCTGGCCTCGTTACCCTGTCTGCTTTAAATCCAGGCATGGATTTCTGGCCTCCCACCTTCCTTAATGCATCCCTTTGCAGTGAGCCCCACGTCTCTGTATCTGACTGTGCCAAGCTGAGCATTTATTACCTCCCTACAGCTCACAAACCCTTTTGCTTGGGGCAGTTCGGTGCTGGGCTCTGCTCCCCATCCCTCTCGCCTCCATCCTTGCTGTGGCAGCCCTGGTCTGCACATCCCCATCCCCACAGTGCTGGGGACAGTGGGATCTTTCCCTTCCTACTGGGAGACCACAGGCGAGGAGCTCCGATGTGTTCTGTAGAGCTGCAAGGAGGCGGCAGGTTGTGCCTCTCACAGAGCCCTAGAATGGCCTGGGTTGCACAGGAGCTCAGTGCTCATCTGGTTCCAACCCCTGCTGTGTGCAGGTCGCCAACCAGCAGCCCAGGTTGCCCAGCCTGGCCTCCAATGCCTGCAGGGATGGAGCATCCACAGCCTCCTTGGGCAACCCGTTCCAGTGCCCCACCACCCTCTGGCTGAAAAACTTCCTCCTCATATCCAACCTAAACCTCAGTTTAGGTTGTCTCAGTTTAAAACCATTCCCCTTGTCCTGTTGTGTATCGGTCTGCCTCTCAGTGACCTTTGATTTGGGGAGAACAGAGGCTCCCTGGCTGGGCCAAAAATGTGTTTTGCTGAAGAGGAAATGCAGCGTTTGGGGCGGTGCTGGAGCTGCGAAGCGCTGAGCAGGGTTTCTCTTTGTGGACGTGTACAGGGAGGGGTGGCAGCTTTGGTGGCACCGATTTGTCTGGCTGCAGACTGGAAGAGATCTGGAACAGCTGAGTCTTCCTCAGTTCTGTTTCGCATCGTGGAAGGGCTGTGGTTCCTCAGGGTGTTTCCTTTTTCCGGTGGTGCTGAGGTATAAACCACAGTTCTGACTCCCATCTGTGCATTTGCCTCTGCAGCTCAGCACATGATGCACTTACTGTAGATGCACAGCATGCTTGGGTTGGAAGAATCCTTAGGGATCACAGAACTGTGGGTTGGGTATGTTTGGAAGGGTCCTTAAAGATGATAGAACCATGGGTTGAGTTGGGTTGGGTAGGGTTGGAAGGGTCCTTAAAGATGATAGAACCATGGGTTGAGTTGGGTTGGGTAGGGTTGGAAGGGTCCTTAAAGATGATAGAACCATGGGTTGAGTTGGGTTGGGTAGGGTTGGAAGGGTCCTTAAAGATGATAGAACCATGGGTTGAGTTGGGTTGGGTAGGGTTGGAAGGGTCCTTAAAGATGATAGAACCATGGGTTGAGTTGGGTTGGGGTAGGGTTGGAAGGGTCCTTAAAGATGATAGAATCATGGGTTGAGTTGGGTTGGGTAGGGTTGGAGGGGTTCTTAAAGATCATAGAGCTGTGGGTGGATTGGCTTGGGTTAGAAGGGTCTTGAAAGGTCGTAGGACCATGGAATGGTTGAGTTGGGTTGGGTAGGGTTGGAAGGGTCCTTAAAGATGATAGAACCATGGGTTGAGTTGGGTTGGGGTAGGGTTGGAAGGGTCCTTGAAGATGATAGAACCATGGGTTGAGTTGGGTTGGGTAGGGTTGGAAGGGTCGTTAAAGATGATAGAACCATGGGTTGAGTTGGGTTGGGGTAGGGTTGGAAGGGTCCTTAAAGATGATAGAACCATGGGTTGAGTTGGGTTGGGTAGGGTTGGAGGGGTCCTTAAAGGTGATAGAACCATGGGTTGAGTTGGGTTGGGTAGAGTTGGAAGGGTCCTTGAAGGTGATAGAACCATGGGTTGAATTGGGTTGGGTAGGGTTGGAAGGGTCCTTAAAGGTGATAGAACCATGGGTTGAGTTGGGTTGGGTAGGGTTGGAGGGGTTCTTGAAGATCACAGAGCTATGGGATGGATTGGCTTGGGTTAGAAGGGTCTTGAAAGGTCGTAGGACCATGGAATGGTTGGGTTGGGTTGGGGTAGGGTTGGAAGGGTCCTTAAAGATGATAGAACCATGGGTTGAGTTGGGTTGGATAGGGTTGGAGGGGTCCTTAAAGATCATAGAGCTGTGGGATGGGATGGGACGGGATGGGATGGGACGGGATGGGATGGGATGGGATGGGATGGGTTGCGTTGGCAGGGTCTTGAAAGGTCATAGAAAGGTCAAAGGTTGGGTTGGAAGGGTCCTTAAGAATCACAGAGCCATGGAATTGTTGGACAGGAAGAATCCTTAAAGACTACAGAACCACAGATTGGTTGGGTTGGAAGGGAACCCCCAGCTCTGCCGTGGGCTGGCTGCCCCCCAGCTCAGGCTGCCCAGTGCCCACCCCCAGCCTGGGGCACCTCCAGGGCTGGGGCACCCACAGCTCGGGGCAGCAGTGCTGGGGCTGCACTGCCTCTGGGTGAAGGATTTCCCCACGTCTGACCCCAACCCGCCCTCTGTTGGGTTGAAGCCATTCCCCTGTGTTACGCTGCTCTCTGCCCGTGCTCTTCTCTTTATCGGCCGTGATTCAGTTGGTCTCTGGGCTGTACAGACGCGCTGCTGCCTCATCAGCTGTCCTCCGCAGGACCCTCACGTCCTTCCCTCAGGGCTGCTCTCCATCAGCCCCACTCTGTGCCCAAATCTGGCATTTCCTTGAACCCAGCACCGCCCGTTTGGCCTTATTGAACCTCGCTGTGTTCCCGTGAGCCCCCACCTCACCTCATCCCCTCTGGATGCCATCCTTCCCTTGTATTGAATCAACCACAGCGCTCAGCTTGGGGCTCACCGGCAAACTGCACCAATATTGCCCCCCACCTGTGTCCTCCGGTGTCACACCTCTGGGAATGGTGACACCCCCACGTCCCTGGGCAGCATCCCAGCCTGATGGGATGCAGCTCTGTGCCCCCATCCCCGAGCCGTGGCTGTGCCGTGGCGCTGGGGGAGCGTTTGGGGTTTATTTTGTTGGCTTTGGCAGCGGGTCCGTCCTGCTTGCTGCCCTCTGGTGGAACGATCTCAGCTGCAGGGATCTGGAAGCAAACCGGGGGGAGCAGAGAGGAGTGTGGTGTGCCTGGAGCAAATGGAGCGTGTCTGCGCTCCTCCCGAGCCCCTCCATCCGCTTCAGATGGACTTTTGGGGTCAAAATAGTGAGGGTTTGTCGTTTCCCAGGTATCAGCTGTAGCACAGTGCTGGGAACGGAGCTCCTTCCAGGGCTGCGGGCCGCTTCTGCCTTCGTGCCGTACTCAGGGGGTCCTTCTGTGCCCACCCTGATGGCAGAGTAGGGCAGAGCAGTTGGGCACAGCTCTGTGCCTGGGGGCCCCCACGGAACCGCGGCGCATCGCGGTGAGGGAGAGAGGGGGAAGGAGAGAGGGAGAGATGGAAACTAGCGGCCAAAGCCACTGCAGCGCCAAACGCCTGGAAAAAAACTTATCTCCAATCTCCCTTTTTATTTTTTTATTTTTTTTTTTAAATTTTTTAATAAAGCCCTTTGTTTTTGCAGTAATCTCATCCTCTTGCCGGGCCGGGATTTTCCAGGCGCTCTCCCACCCCTCTCCCCGCGCACAGCAGAAGGTGATCGCACACTGCGCGGACTTTACGGCTCCCACGAGGGACGTTGCCGGGGCTGCTTTTGCGATTATTGCACCGAATCCTCCCGTAAACCCGATCTCACCAGGGTCCCCGTCCCCCCCCCACCAAATCCCCCTCCCCATCGATGGGGGAGCGAATCTCTTTTCCAGGGAAGGAGCTGCCGGCTCCTCGCACCCACGCGGCGCTCAGGGCCGTCCCGGCGCTGCAGGGAAAGGTTCTCCGTGCCGTGGCCCCGAGCTCCGTGCTGCTGCCTGAGGTGTTCTGCCCAGTGCGGGTGCTGGAGGGGAGAAGAAATGGAGAAGGGAAAAGAGATGGAGAAAAAAATGGAGGTTGGAAAAGAAGTGGAGTGCGCTCGGGGCAGAGCAGCTGCTTGTGGTGCCTGGAGTGAGGTTGGTTTCACGCTGCCGGAGGTTTTCTGCCCAGTGCGGGTGCTGGAGGGGAGAAGAAATGGAGAAGGGAAAAGAAATGAAGAAAAAAGGAGGATGGAAAAGAAGTGGAGTGCCCTCGGGGCAGGGCAGCCTTTCGCAGTGCCCAGTGCCAGGGGTGAGGCTGGTTTCGTGCTGCCCCATTGCTGCCCTCAGTCCATCGAGGCCTCTGTGCGACTTTGGGTTGGCAGCTGAGATCGCTGTGTGCTCCGCTGACCCCCAGTGCGTTGTGCGCCCATCTCCAGCACTCTGTGAGCTAGAGCCTTGGCAGAGCCCATCTGTAGGAAAGGACCTGTGTGTGGGGCACGGCGAGGCGGCCCTTGTGCTGATGCAGCGAGCCCTGCACTTGTGCTGCCAGGTGGGGAGAGGTTCTGCTGGCTCTGTGTGTACCTGGGATCGTAGACTCGTCGTCGAATCGTGGAATGGTTTGGGTTGGAAGGGATCTTTCAGACCATCTATTTCCACCCATCCCTGCTGTAGTCAGGGACACTGCCCACCACACCAGGTTGCTCACAGTCCCATCCAGCCTGCAATACCTCCATGGTGGGATCCACAGCCTCTCTGGGCAACCCGCTCCAGTATCTCACCGGCTTCACAGTAAAGAATTCCTTCCTAAGAAGATCTGTTCTAAGCCACGGGGAGCAGTCGGAGCAGTGCAGGGTAGGGCTGGCGGGTGCCTGGTGGAGCTCAGGGGCAGCACATCCCACACTGGGCTCAGAACTGACCTGAGTGGGGTTCAGTTCACAGGAGCAGCTCAGGAGAGGTGGACTGGGGGGCTGCAGGTGTCCATGGCCACATCGACCTCGTGTTACCTGCTGTAGGGAACCTGCTTTGGCAGGGGGGTTGGACTCGATGATCTCTGGAGGTCCCTTCCAACCCCTACAGTTCTGTGATTCTGTGATTCTGTGTTGGGCACAGCGAGAGCCTGCCTGCCAACAGGGATGAGGGTGGCACCTCAGTGCACCATCCGTGCTCTGGGTCCATTTGAGGACCTGGTTTGGTGCAGGGACAGAGGGCACAAGGGCTGAGCTGGCAGGGAGAGGCAGCCAGGCTGTTGTCCTGCCCAGGGACAGAGGACAGAGCAAAAGGGGAATCCCTGGATGGAGGAGGAGGAGCTCTTGTCCTGGTGGATTTCTGGGATGGCACCCAGGCAGCGATGAGGTCTCCATCCACGGAGAAATGGGAAATGCATCACCAAACGCAGCGCTCAGCGCCCTGATGGAGCCTGGAAGCTGACTTTACTGGAGCAGAGACCTCCAGAAACCCTTCCCAGCATCTGTTTTTCCACAGTCTGCGTTTGCAGAGCTTCCATGCACTCGTACCTCGCAGCACCTCGCAGCACCTCGCCCTTGGCCCTCCGCACACCTTGCAGGGCGTTGCGTCCGCGCTCTTCCCACAGTTCAGGGCTGTTTGCCCCCAGGTTCATCGGGTGGCACCGAGCTCTTGTGAGCAGAGAGGGGCTGTGCAGAGCTCTGAGATCTGCTCTGGGCATAGCCAGGCTGGGGAAGCAGCCGAGACAGGAAAGGCTGTGAGCACAGTGAGTGGGAATGCGGCGCTGTGAGCTGAGCAGCTGTCAGAACGCGGCTCGGCAGCCCGTCCTCAGACGGGGGCTGATGGACTTTCTGTCTTCGTGGTCCCAGATGAGCAGAAGTGCGCGGTGCTTAATGAGCCCTTTCTTTCCTTCCTTCCTTCCCTGTAATGCGCCGTCCCCGAGGAGCCGTGAGCGCTGCGCGGCGCGAACCCGAAAGCACAAAGGTTCACGTGGCGGGCCCTTGCTGAGCTGCTTTCTTCTCTTTCAGGTCAAAGGGGCTCCCAGGAAGAGCAAAGCCCTGGGGGCTGATCCCCCTCCAAAGGATGGCGAGGGTCTGAGCGTTCCGGATGAGTACGTGGAAGACAGCTCGGATGAGGAGGTAGGACCGCCTGCCAACTTGTGGATGCAACGTAGGGCTGGTGGATTTCTTACTGCGTCGTCTTCCGTGCAAACCCAGAGGGAGGGACGTTGGGTCAAAGAGCGCTGGGTGTGAAGGGGGGCTGCCCACCCTGCAGCTCGCTGCTGGCACCCAGGGGGACTGGGGGGGGCTGGTGATGGAGCGCAGCGCTCGCGGTGCCTGGCGCGGGAGGTTGGAAACTGCTTGTGCAAGAGGCAGCAGGATGCCGGGCCGCAGAATGCTCCTTGGCTTGGCTCGTTCCAGACCAACTTCATTGCCTTTCTTAATCGTCTGCTAAATCAATTAACGCCGTTGGCGCAAATCAGCTGCTCCTGCAGAGCCCTGGGGTCGGGATGGGGTGAGCGCCAAGCGCGCGGGGGCGTTCGGTCTGGCCCTATCGCCGGGCTCTGGGTTCACTGGAAGGTGCTGGGACAGGTTTGTGGGGGCAGCTTGAGGGCTGTTGGTGAGCTTTGAGGGCACGGTGTGCTATATTGGGGTGCAACCTGCTATATTGGGGTGCAGCCTGCTATACTGGGGCGCAGCGTGCTACATTGGAGCATTGGGAGGCTTCAAAACCCCATTTTGAGGCTTAATGGCCTGTTTTGAGGGATCGTGGGCCCATTTTAAGAACTCATATCCCATTGGCAGGAGTTGGACTTGATGATTCCTGATGGGTCCCTTCCAAGTTGGGACACGTTCTCTGATTCTGTGGTGCGATATACCGGGGTGCAGCGTGGTATAAGGGGCATTTTGAGGGCTCAGAACCCCATTTTGAGGGCTTGTGGACCTTTTTTGAAGGATCACAGTCCTACTTTGAGAACTCCTAGCCCCATTGCTAGGAAATTAACTTCATGATCCCTACGGGTCCCTTGCAAGTCGGGATATATTCTGTGATATGGTATATCGGGACATGGTGTGGTATACTGGGGTATGGTCTGGTATGTTGGAACATGGCGTAATGTTTTGGGACATTTTGAGGGTTCATAGCCCCATTTTGAGGGCTTATGGCCCTAATTTGGGGAGATCACGGCCCCATCTTAAGTCCTCCCACTATTGCCAGCAGTTGAACTCGATGATCCTTATGGGTCCATTCCAAGTCGGGATACATTCCCTGATTCTGTGGCACGGTATATCGGGGCATGGCAAGGTGTATTGCAGAATGGCGTGGTATGTCGGGCCGTGGTGTTGTACATCAGGGCATTTTGAGGGCTCGGAATCCTATTTTGAGGTCTTACGGCCCTATTTTGAGAGTTCACGGTCCCATTTCGAGTATTCCTAGCCCAATTGCCAGGAGTGGACTTGATGATCCTTACAGATCTCTTCCAAGCTGGGATACGTTCTGTGATTCTGTGGCACGGCGTATTGCAGAACTGCGCGGTGTATGAAGGCACGGTGTGGTGCAGCGGGGCATTGAGCGCCAGCACAGCGGCTCCTGGGCCCTGCAGCCAGCGAAGGGCCTCAGCCCTGGCTCTGGAGACACGAGGGGGGCCTGGAGCACACCGTGCCCCGGGGCTGGACGCTGGAGGCCCACCTGGGTTGGCGCTGGAGCTGCCGGCAGCCCCCGGATCTGGAATAGAGATTTAGAGAGAGGGGAAATATATGACTATAGAAAACATACACTTGTGTAATGTCTCCAGCATAACCCAGGAAAAAAAACCCTTTCATGCAGGAATCCGAGGTCTCCCCCCTCCCCAGCCGGTCCCGGTGCAGGGCCCCCGTGGGGGGAGAGCTGATTCAGAACCTGTTGACATCAGAGCAGCTTCCAGTGGCTTTGTTCCTGCTCCCCGCTCCCAGCCCCCTGCCCTCTGCGATTGTATTTATCTCTCCTCCAGAAGATCCCCGGTGCTGCTGCTGCTTCCTGTGGCCGCTTTGCGCTCGTCGCCCCGCGCTGCCCCGGCTTCGTCCTTCTGTGCTGCAGCAGGGGCCGTTATCTTCCATTTCTCCTTATCTTTTCTTCATTGAGACCCCCAGCTTCTGTTCCGTAGCGTCGTTCTAACGAATGCGTGAGCTCATCCTTATTAATGAGCGGCCTCATCCTCCTCAAAGGACCGCAGTGCTCTCAACAGAGATACTGGAGGTGCACGCAGCCCCTGAGGGCCCCGCGGATGGGGCTCAGCCCATCGCACCCGCAGGCATTGGGAGCAAACGGTGAATGAACGGGATGCACCGGGGGGCTCCCATCCCACACCCACCCCTGTGCAGCCCTCGGGAAAGCATGGCAACGAGTGTTGATGTGGGCACAGCGCCGTCCGTCCCTGCAGCTGCGCTGGGACAGCGGGCCGTCCCTCCCCATTTGCCCCCCACGGAGCTGCGGGAGCGGTGTCCCCATCCATCGCCCCCAGCACCGGGTGCCCAGGGACACCACACACCAAGTCGAGGTAGAGGCGGCCCTGCTGCACCTTGTCACCTGCAGGTGGCTGCCCGACACCGGGCGATGCTGCGACACTGCTCTCCCCCCGTGGGGCTGCCGCCGTCTGACCCATCGCTGTGCCCACAGCCGACCCCACAAGCAGCACGGGTGGGAAAACATCCACGGTGCCCCCGGAGCGCCCGGAGCCGTGCCGCTGTCACTCAGCGCCTGCGCGGGGGCTCCGAGCTCCTTAATAAAGAGTAATGGCCCCGCGCTGCCCCGCGCTCCCGCTCGCTTGGCAGCTCCTCCTGGCCACGCGCCCGGCCGCTGTGCCGTGAGCTCTGAGCAGAGACACAACAAAACCCCGGCGGTTTCCTGGCCGGGTGCGCAGCCCGCGGTGCCTGCGGGGCTCCCGGTGGCACAGCAGTGCGGGTGCCCGCGGTGCCGGCGCTCCCCCCGGCGCTCGGCACGGAGATGAATGGCCGCGAGCTGCCGCGGCTGTCAGGGCCTCGCTGGGAGGAAGCAGTTTGGGGCTTTTGTTTGGTTCTGTTTCCTCCCACAATGACTATTCCATATGTCAGTGGATAATGAATGAAGGAGCGCTGAGTGCTCCTCGGAGCGCGGCGGCCGTTCCAAGCCCACTTCCCTCCTCCGCAGCGCAGCTGAGCCGGGCGGGGGGCGAGCGCTGGCCGGGCGCAGGGAGCTCTTCTTTCAGTAGCTGATTAGCCAAGAGAGAAAAGTGCTGCAGAATGTGCTGCTGGCAGACGGCTCCTTCACTCATCACTCTGTGTGTGTGTGTGTGTGTGCGCGGCCCTGCGTGCGCTTCCTGACCTGCCTGGCTCTGCCTGATCTCCGTGCTCCCCCGCGAGCGCGCCTGGCCAACGAGCGTGTGCTCAGACCCTGGAACGGTGAGGGAGGAGTGGGCAGTGCCATGCTGGAGCTCATGGACAGTCAGTGCCGTGCCAGAGCTCGTGGGCAGTGCTGTACCGGAGCTTGTGCTCCATGCTGTGCCAAAGCTCTGGAGATGGGCGAGGAGGGGCCCTGTGGGCAGTGCTGTGCTGTGCTGGAGTTTGCAAGCAGTGCTGTGCGGTGCCAAAGCTCCAGAGCCAGGAAAGGAGGGACCCAGCAGATGGCTGTGCTGTGCCAAAGCTCATGGGCAGTGCTGTGCCGTACCAGAGCTCTGCAGATGGACAAGGAGGGGCCCTGTGAGCAGTGCCGTGCTGTGCCAAAACTCTGCAGCCATGCAAGGAGAGCTTCTGTGTGTGGCTGTGCTGTACAGAGGCTCACGGGCAATGCCACGCTCTACTGAAGCTCCAGAGCCAGATAAGGAGACACTCAACAGTCGGTGCCGTGCCAAAGCTCACAGCAGCCCTGTGGTGGCACTGGGGGAACCTCCCGATTCCCAAACCAGCTCTGCTGCTCAATTCCACACTTCTTACGCCCAACTTTTTTCCGAGGGGGAAGTGCCTCTCAGTGTTGCTGCGTCCCTTCCAAAAAGCTCCGCTTCCCATTGCTGGGAGCAGCGCACGCTGCAGCTGGGTTGCGCACTGGGGAGGGACCGTGGCACGGAGCTTTGGGTGCTTGCCTGCACCGAAGGATGTGGCTCAGGGCTCCTCGGTGCCTCCTGTCCCCTCGAGCACAAACGATTCCTGGGAAGGCAGGAGCTGCCACACACGACATCAGGAAGGAGCTGAAGGATGGACGCGGGGAGGAAAGCGGTGCGTTGCAGCTCCAGCCCACCGCTGAGGTCCTCCAGCTGCAGTGCCATGCCCCATTTCCACAATTCCGTTTTGGAACAGCGGAGGGAGAGTGAAAGGAGCTGCAGAGATGGATGGAGGGGATAATTGGAGGCCTGGGGGGAGCATGCAGACGAGGAGATGTGAGAAGGGGAGATTTGTGCCGGCTGGAGGCAAAGCGGAGTCGGGAGGACGCTAACAGGATGCAGGAGGAAGCACGGGGATATTTGACGAGATGAAACGGCGTCAGGTTGAAATGGAAATGAAATGGGAGGAGAGGGACGCACTCGCTGTGCAGCCGTATTGTCCTGCACGGCACAGGGCAGAGCATCACAGCACCACCAGAGGCTGCACAGACGTCTGGGTCTGCACACAGTGATGCCAATAATAACGGGAACGTCGGGAGCTGCGGTGCTCCAGGCTGAGATCGATGCTATGGGACCTCAAGGTGCTCCAGGCTGAGATCGATGCTATGGGACCTCAAGGTGCTCCAGGCTGAGATCGATGCTATGGGACCTCAAGGTGCTCCAGGCTGAGATCGATGCTATGGGACCTCAAGGTGCTCCAGGCTGAGATCGATGCTGTGGGACCTCAAGGTGCTCCAGGCTGAGATTGATGCTATGGGACCTCAAGGTGCTTCAGGCTGAGATCGATGCTATGGGACCTCAAGGTGCTCCAGGCTGAGATCGATGCTGTGGGACCTCAAGGTGCTCCAGGCTGAGATCGATGCTATGGGACCTCAAGGTGCTTCAGGCTGAGATCGATGCTGTGGGACCTCAAGGTGCTCCAGGCTGAGATCGATGCTATGGGACCTCAAGGTGCTCCAGGCTGAGATCGATGCTATGGGACCTCAAGGTGCTCCAGGCTGAGATCGATGCTATGGGACCTCAAGGTGCTCCAGGCTGAGATCGATGCTGTGGGACCTCAAGGTGCTCCAGGCTGAGATCGATGCTATGGGACCTCAAGGTGCTCCAGGCTGAGATCGATGCTATGGGACCTCAAGGTGCTCCAGGCTGAGATCGATGCTATGGGACCTCAAGGTGCTCCAGGCTGAGATCGATGCTATGGGACCTCAAGGTGCTCCAGGCTGAGATCGATGCTGTGGGACCTCAAGGTGCTCCAGGCTGAGATCGATGCTATGGGACCTCAAGGTGCTTCAGGCTGAGATCGATGCTATGGGACCTCAAGGTGCTCCAGGCTGAGATCGATGCTATGGGACCTCAAGGTGCTCCAGGCTGAGATCGATGCTATGGGACCTCAAGGTGCTCCAGGCTGAGATCGATGCTATGGGACCTCAAGGTGCTCCAGGCTGAGATCGATGCTATGGGACCTCAAGGTGCTCCAGGCTGAGATCGATGCTGTGGGACCTCAAGGTGCTCCAGGCTGAGATCGATGCTATGGGACCTCAAGGTGCTCCAGGCTGAGATCGATGCTATGGGACCTCAAGGTGCTCCAGGTTGAGATCAATGCTATGGGACCTCAAGGTGCTCCAGGCTGAGATCGATGCTATGGGACCTCAAGGTGCTCCAGGCTGAGATCGATGCTATGGGACCTCAAGGATCCACGATGGTCCCTGAGCCGCACGCACCAGGAACGCTCTGCTATGTGCTGGGTGGTTGTAGAACCATGGAGGATGGATAACATCTCCAAGATCCCCCAGTCCAACCCCAACCCATCTCCACCATGGCCCTAAACAGAACCATAAAGTCTTTGTCACAGCATTAATCACGACAGTCATTAGGGTTGGAAGAGACCTCCAAGATCTCCTAGTCCAACCCCAATCCATCTTCACCATGACCCTAAATAGAACCACAGGGTCATTAAAGTTGGAAGAGACCTCCAAGACCCACCAGTCCAACCCAACCCTTTCCACCATGCCCACTGACCGCGTCCTCCCCCAAGTGCCACATCTCCACTGTCCTGTAACTCCAGAGATGGGGACTCCCCCTCCACCTCCCTGGGGAGTGGGAGGGGGCCTTGGAGCTGTTTTGTTGTCTCATCTTGTTGTCAGCAAAGGGTGGGGAGCTCCGCTTTCAGCACATCCCACCCCATCTTCCACCACACCTCAACCACCAAAGGTCTTAGATTCATAGAACCATAGAGTGATTGGGTTGGAAGGGTCCTTAAAGAGCACAGAACCGTGGAATGGTTGGGTTGGAAGGGCCCTTAAAGAGCACAGAACTGTGGAATGGTTGGGTTGGAAGGGTCCTTAAAGAGCACAGAACCATGCAATGGTTGGGTTGGAAGGGTCCTTAAAGACCACAGAACTGTGGAATGGTTGGGTTGGAAGGGTCCTTAAAGAGCACAGAACCATGGAGTGGTTGGATTGGAAGGGTCCTTAAAGAGCACAGAACCGTGGAATAGTTGGATTGGAAGGGTCCTTAAAGAGCACAGAACCATGGAGTGGTTGGATTGGAAGGGTCCTTAAAGAGCACAGAACTGTGGAATAGTTGGATTGGAAGGGTCCTTAAAGAGCACAGAACCATGGAATGGTTGGGTTGGAAGGGTCCTTAAAGGGCACAGAACCATGGAGTGGCTTGGGTTGGAAGGGTCCTTAAAGAGCACAGAACCATGGAGTGGGTTGGGTTGGAAGCGTCCTTGAAGAGTACAGAACCATGGAATGGTTTGGTTGGAAGGGTCCTTAAAGAGCACAGAACCATGGAATGGTTGGGTTGGAAGGGTCCTTAAAGAGCACAGAACCATGGAATGGTTGGGTTGGAAGGGCCCTTAAAGAGCACAGAACCATGCAATGGTTGGGTTGGAAGGTTCCTCAAAGCCCATCCATCTCCAACCCACTCCTCAGCCCACCCAGGCCTCTCTAGATGCCATCCCTTCCTTCTGTTGGATGTGGGGGCCGTCAGCAAACTGCTGGCGCTCCCAATCCCACCGCCGGTGCTTTCGGTGAAGGAGAGCCCTTCTCCATTGACCGTGGGTTTCCTGTGGGTTCCTCGGTGAGGAGCATCGCGTGGGCTCCTGTGGGAGCTCTGCTGCCACTCACTGATGGTTAAACAGGCTGAGAGGAGCCAGAGGAACACGACGCATGGCTCGGGGCCTGTGCTGCGCATCTCCCCCCTTCCCCCATAGACTGGGGATGGTTTCGGCACCAGCTCCGGCGCTTGGGGCCGCCGTGGGAAGCCGGGCTGGCGCAGCACCGGGAGCTCACAGCTGTGCAGCTCGGGCACTCGTTGGGGCTCCTGGCGCTCCAGGACGGAAAGTTTCCACGCTCGGCACGTCGGAGCTGGGACCCGGCAGCCCCTTCCCCACAGCACCGGGCGTCCCTGACCCCGTGCAGCGCCGTGCCCGGCAATGAGGGGCGGCTGTGGCGCTGCCGGGGGATTCTCTGCGGTGGGGACAGGGAGGGCTGGAGCTGGGGGGAGCGGGGGAGAGCCGGTGATTAACTGGTGCTGATACAGCCGTGAAAAAGGAGCTCCATTACTCTGTCTCTTGGCTGCCCCAGAGCTGATATTTAAAGCCGTTTGTAAAGCGGCTCAGTTGGGGCAGGAAAGGCTTTTTCCTTCTGGAAGGAATGACATCACCGAATACATTTAACCGATCAGGTCTCTGACCCAAGGAGAGCGAGAAACCCACAACAACTTGCGGCTGATGAGTGGAAACTTTTCCTTCTTTCTTTCTTTCTTTTTTTCTTTTCTTTTCTCCTTTTTTTTTTTGTTTTTTTTTTTTTTCCGTTTACTTTCCCCCTCTGCGTGCCGGCTCTACGCGGCTCGGCTCCATGGGCTGCACTCCAGGATCCGCTCCGATTCCTCCGGCCCCGCTGCACCCGGGGGGGGGGGGGGGGAAGAGGGGGGGGCAGGGAGCAGCCTGCAAGTGCAGGGCAGGTTAATTCAGACAGCCACATTAATTCAGACAGCCACGTTAATTCAGGGAGCCGTGTTAATTCAGAGCCACGTTAATTCGGAGAGCCTGTCTGTTAATTCAGAGAGCTGCAGCACAGCTGGGTTGGAGGGGATCTTAAAGATCACAGAAGTGTGGAACAGTCGGGTTGGAAGGGTCCTTAAAGATTGTTAGAGCCGTGAAGGTCCTGAAAGATCATAGAGCTGTGGGATGGTTGGGTTGGAGGGGCCCTTAATGGTCCTGGAACCGGGAACGATTGGGTTGGAAGGGTCTCCTGCAGTGGGCTGTGTGCCCCCCACCAGCTCAGACTGCCCAGGGCCCCATCCGCAGCCTCAGAACACCTCCAGGGATGGGACTCTGTGCCAGTGCCGCCGCCGCCACCACCGGTTCCCATTGCCTTGTCCCACATTCCGCCTCGTCCCATGGCCGTGCCGACCCGGCTCGCTTCCCGGTGCGGATGGCGGAGCGCAACCACTCCTCCCACCCCCGCGGCTGGAGCTGCTCCATCCCTGCTGGCAGAGCTGGGGCTGCGGGATGCCAGGGCTGCCAGCGAAACTCCCCTCGCACTGCAGCCTCCGCAGCAGTGCTGCACTGCAGCATCCGGGCAGCGCACACAGGTGGGACAGAGGTGGCTGCATGCAGGTGTGGCCGTGGCGCAGGGAACGGAGCGACCCCAGAGCTGAACGGCAGGCGGCTGCTCCGGCGTCTCTCCGCTCCCAACACGCTTCCCAACACGCTGCTTGCCCAGCACCCGTGCAGCGCTGCATCTCCTGCACCGTTCTGCACCCATTCGTTGGCACAAACCTGCAAGCGCAGCGCTGTGCGTGGCTCTGATCGCTGCAGGAGCTGCTTGGGAAGCTCCTGGCTGTGCTGCAGTGACAGCCGTGTGCTCGGCAGCTCCGTGCACGGGGATGGCTGTCTGGAAAGCAGCGTTCGATCCCGGACGTAGAGTCAGCACTGCTGGGATTCCTTGGTGCAGGGAATACGGCGCTCTCTGCTCCTTGGGAATAGGGCAAAGTGGGAAGAGGCCTTTCCTGTGCAGAGCCCAGTGCTTGTTTTGCTGGAGGAGCAGCCGGAGGGAGCAGGCGGTGTCACAGTGCCGCGTCTGAGGGCTCTGTGTGCTGGCACTCACCCCAGATAGGTGATGCTAAAGAAGGGAGGGAGGGCTCAGGGGGCAGCTGTGGCTTAGAGTGTCAGCATCTGTGCCTGGGCTGGGGCAGAGCTGTGCTGCCAGTGATGTTGGGCGCAGTGCCCTGAGCGGTGCAGGGCCGTGTGTGTGGGGCAGTGCCCCATGGATGTGATGCCGTGTGTGATGGCAGTGCCACATGTGATGCAGTGCCATGGACATTGCAGTGCCCTCTGTGTGGTCAGTGCCCCATGGATGTGATGGCAGTGCCACATGTGATGCAGTGCCATGGACATTGCAGTGCCATGTATGTGTGGGGCAGTGCCCCATGGATGTGATGCCGTGTGTGATGGCAGTGCCACATGTGATGCAGTGCCATGGACATTGCAGTGCCATGTATGTGTGGGGCAGTGCCCCATGGATGTGATGCCGTGTGTGATGCAGTGCCACATGTGATGCAGTGCCATGGACATTGCAGTGCCATGTATGTGTGGGGCAGTGCCCCATGGATGTGATGCCGTGTCTCATGCAGTGCCACATGTGATGCAGTGCCATGGACATTGCAGTGCCTTTAGCAATGCAGTGCCATGTATGTGTGGTGCAGTGTGCAATGGATGTGCTGCCATGCACGATGCAGTGCCATGCATGATGCAGGGCTGAGCACGATGCAGTGCCCTGAGTCATGCAGTACCATGCATGATGCAGTACCATGCACGATTGCCATTGCAGTGCCCTTCTCGTTGCAGTGCCCTTCTCATTGCAGTGCCCTTCTCCTTGCAGTGCCCTTCTCAATGCAGTGCCCTTCTCATTGCAGTGCCCTTCTCCTTGCAGTGCCCTTCTCAATGCAGTGCCCTTCTCATTGCAGTGCCCTTCTCAATGCAGTGCCCTTCTCAATGCATTGCCCTTCTCATTGCAGTGCCCTTCTCCTTGCAGTGCCCTTCTCAATGCAGTGCCCTTCTCAATGCATTTCCCTTCTCAATGCAGTGCCCTTCTCATTGCAGTGCCCTTCTCAATGCATTTCCCTTCTCAATGCAGTGCCCTTCTCAATGCAGTGCCCTTCTCATTGCAGTGCCCTTCTCAATGCATTTCCCTTCTCAATGCAGTGCCCTTCTCAATGCAGTGCCCTTCTCAATGCATTGCCCTTCTCGTTGCAGTGCCCTTCTCCTTGCAGTGCCCTTCTCAATGCATTGCCCTTCTCCTTGCAGTGCCCTTCTCAATGCAGTGCCCTTCTCGTTGCAGTGCCCTTCTCAATGCAGTGCCCTTCTCAATGCATTGCCCTTCTCCTTGCAGTGCCCTTCTCAATGCAGTGCCCTTCTCATTGCAGTGCCCTTCTCAATGCAGTGCCCTTCTCATTGCAGTGCCCTTCTCAATGCAGTGCCCTTCTCCTTGCAGTGCCCTTCTCATTGCAGTGCCCTTCTCCTTGCAGTGCCCTTCTCAATGCAGTGCCCTTCTCCTTGCAGTGCCCTTCTCGTTGCAGTGCCCTTCTCGTTGCAGTGCCCTTCTCCTTGCATTGCCCTTCTCGTTGCAGTGCCCTCTCTCATTGCAGTGCCCTTCTCATTGCAGTGCCCTTCTCAATGCAGTGCCCTTCTCAGTGCAGTGCCCTTCTCAATGCAGTGCCCTTCTCCTTGCAGTGCCCTTCTCGTTTCAGTGCCCTTCTCATTGCATTGCCCTTCTCAATGCAGTGCCCTTCTCGTTGCATTGCCCTTCTCAATGCAGTGCCCTTCTCCTTGCAGTGCCCTTCTCATTGCAGTGCCCTTCTCGTTGCAGTGCCCTTCTCATTGCAGTGCCCTTCTCGTTGCAGTGCCCTTCTCAATGCAGTGCCCTTCTCATTGCAGTGCCCTTCTCATTGCAGTGCCCTTCTCAATGCAGTGCCCTTCTCGTTGCAGTGCCCTTCTCAATGCAGTGCCCTTCTCATTGCAGTGCCATGCTCAGTGCAGTGCCCTTCTCAATGCAGTGGCCGGCGCCAGCCTGCTGTCCTGGACCCGTTCCCCCCATGCTGCTCACAGCTCTCTCGCAGCCTGGCCCCGCTCAGGGATTTTGTTTTCATCCCTCCCGATCCAGTAGCACAACTTGTCCAAAAAAACACCGCTCGACTTTACTTCAATTCCTGGAAAAACTCTGGAACAAAATAATCAAGCCCTTTGCAAACCTCTGGAAGATAGCGAGCGGACTCGTCACCGCCAGCACAGACAAGTCTGTCAAAACAACCCGGCGTCCCTTTGCACCAGGAGAAGGGGCTGAGAGGGCGGTGGGTGCCAGTGCTGCCCAGGGGCTGCAGGAGGAGCCCAGGAGGAGCCCAGGAGGAGCCCAGGAGGAGCCCAGCACATGGGTGCACGGCTGGCTGCTCCGGGGGCATCGGCCCGTGGGGTTTGTGGTTGGGGTGGGTGGGTGCAGCTGGTGGTGCCGCAGGGTCTGCACTTGTCCTGCACCTGGGCTTCCCTGCACAGGGGAGGGGAGATGTGCTGAGTAAATGAGCGTAGAGTCATGGAGTCCTTAAAGAGCGTGGAGCCATGGAATGGTTGGGTTGGAACGGCCCTGGGAGATCGTAGAGCCGTGGGAGGGTTGGGGTGAAAGGATCCTTAAAGATTTTAGAGCCGTGGGTTGGTGGCGTTGGGAGGGTCCTTAAAGATCATAGGGCCATGGGATGGTTGGGTTGGGAGGGTCCTTAAAGATCACAGAATGTGGAATGTTGGAGTTGGAAGGATCCTCACAGGTCATAGAGGCATGAAATGGTTGGGTTAAAGGTCCTTAAAGGTCACGGAGCGGTGAAAGGGTTGGGTTGGAAGAGTCCTTAAGGATCATAAAGCCACAGAAGAGTTGGGTTGTAAGGCTCCTTAAAGGTCATAGAGCTGTGGAACGGGTTGGAAACGTCTTGCTGAGCTTTTGGGAGCCACAGGGCAGCCCTTGAGCTGCTGTGTGAATCCCAACGTGCTGCAGGGATTGCCCTGCGCGTCCCCTGTCTGTGGGGTGGGAAGAGCCAGAGGAGGCAGTTTGGGCTCCTGTGATCATACAACTGTAGAATCATTAAGATCAGAAAAGGCCTCCAAGATCCCCCAGTCCAACCCCATCCCATCCCCACCATGACCCTAAACTGAACCATAGAGTCGTTCAGGTTGGAAAAGACCTCCAAGATCCCGCGGTCCAACCCCCGCCCACCCCCACCGCGTCCCCAGGTGCCACATCTGCACCATTCCTGAACACCTGTGGGGATGGGGACCCCTCCACCCCCCTGGGCAGCCCGTTCCCATCCACGACACTCATCTGAGAACATTTTCCCTACTATCCAACCTGAGGCCATCTCCCCTTGTCCCAGCCTCTTGACCTCAGCTTGCAGCAGCCCCTTTGGGGTCCCCGTAAGGAACCAGACGCCGCTGGCCTTCTTGCAACCTGTGTGCACTGCCGTGCACTCAGCACTGCTTTGGATGACCAAAACCCACACGTTCATCTTTTGCCTCTCCTCATCGCCGCGCCAGCTTTCCCTTGGTCTTATTCAGCCTCATTTGGGTTTTTTCCCCCTTCAGCCAAGGCTGAGAGCCCGTTTCAGCCGTGGCCGTGCCCCATCGCCTTCCCAGGGGCTCCGGGTCTCCTTGCACCCGACGGGACCGGGACCCCCAGCGCCGCGGTAGCGGCACGGCGATCGGAAGCCGCGGCCGATGCCGGCTTTCCCCCCAGGCTCGGCTGTAACCGGAGAGCGCGCGGGGCGGCCGCCGAGCGCCTGTTTGCGCGTCCGGGAACCACGCGACGCTTTGCGCGGCGGCCAAGCGCCGCTAATGGCTTCTGTCGGCTACCGGAGCTCCGGCTGCCAAAGCCTCGGCC